CTCCCCCTTCCACACCTGCAGCTGCTTCTCCCTTACACTCTCTTCCGCCTCTCACCTTCTCCACTTCACCCCCCACACAAACACACTGTCCTTCCTCCTCATCCTCTCTTCTCTTGTACCCTCTCCCTCTCTCTCTCTCTCTCCTAAAATTACTTACTCTATGGTTTCGCCTGACTTCTCTACTCCACCAACTGCTTATACTCCTCCTCCTCCACCCATCTTCCTACTACCTCGTATGGCATTCTCTCCCACGCCACATCAATTATTCCATTCATCTATCGCCCTCACCTCTCCCTCATTAATTATTTTCTCCCTCAGCCCCCATTACCATAAGTTTCCATCCCCATAATTCTTCGGTTTCTTCTTCAACTTCCACCAATCTGCTACTTGACCCAAACATATTTTTTCTTCATCTTCCAAAATTCAAGAAGAGAGGAAGTAGGGAGATAAGGAGGTGAGAAGACAGGGAGGTAGGAGACGAGTGGTAGGGAACAGGGAGACCAATGAGTTAGGGAGATAGAGTAAGCAAAAAAAATGGGAGACCAGGTAAGGAGATTAGAGAGAGAGAGAGAGAGAGAGAGAGAGAGAGAGAGAGAGAGAGAGAGAGAGAGAGAGAGAGAGAGATATATATATATATATATATATATATATATATATATATATATATATATATATATAGAGAGAGAGAGAGAGAGAGAGAGAGAGAGAGAGAGACCCACGTAAAGGTACCCACCAATAAAGTGGCTCCCTATTACCACCACCACCTGCGCACTCCAACCATTAATTACTAGACAAGTGCCTATGTAAACACGTGAGCGACGCCAGCCACCTCAGAGGCAACAACCGACTATCCCACACCCCCGCTATCAACCTCTTGAGCACGATGGCCTAAGCTGCCACACTTGAGGGAGGGAGAGGGGGGAGGGGGCTATGAACACACCTGAGGGAGGCACAACTTCCGACACTCACCGCTCATAAAGCTCCCTACAATGGTGGTGTTGTTCTGGGTCCAGGTGCTACAACACGTCGGCAGCGATAAGTGTGTTAATGTACTACTTACTTACTTATAGGAGTGAAACCTTTTGCCAGTCAGGTAGGGGAGGGCGGGGGGGACCACACCTGCCAGGTTGATTGAAGGGAACTCCATAACCCTGCCAGCCAGTCTGATGAGATAGAGACCGACGCCCCTGCCATCCCTGTGACGAAGAACACCCCAGGCCACTGACAGCTGGGTAAGGGAGACAGCAGGGCAGGAGGGGCCAAAGCCGTGCTAGGAGCAGCTCAAGCCGAGATTTTACGAGGTAGTGAGTGTACCCGGCGGGCCATCAAGATTATTGAGTAGTGCCAGCGTGGGCCAACCCCCCCCCCCTTGAACTGGCCCGCTACCTCCCTCACTACCTGACTCCTCTCCTACCTTCCTGCTGTTGACTTTTTCCTGCCTGTCTCACTATCTGTCTCGCACGTTGCTGCTGCAGTTTACTCTTCCCTGTCTACAGCCTGTCAACCTCCCTAATTACTGCCTGTCAATATACTTCTCTGTGCCTGTTTATTTCTTGCTTACCTCCCTGTCGCTCATGTCTATCTGCCTGTCTCTCTCCCTGCCACTACCTGTCCATCTGTTTCGCTGTTACTGTCTAACTTTCCTGTCTGCCTCCCAACTTCTGCCTTTGCCTATACTGAACTGTCTCCTAGCTGCCACATTCCAACCTGCCTCCTTATCTACCACTGTCTGTCCATCACTGACCATAACCAACTGTTACTGCTCACCTGTAAATACCCGCTTGCTTCTCTTCTTCTTTTTCCTATCAATTTTCTCCTCTGCCTTAATTAATTTCATTCTGCGTCCCATCTCCCCATCTTGCGTCCCATCTCCCCATCTTGCGTCCCATCTCCCCATTTAACGCCTTATGCTGTATGTATTCCACGACTCGTAATAACAAAATAAAATAAAAAATAAAAATCGTGAATTGAACCTTGAAATAGCAATCCCTCGTATCTCAAACACCTAAGGATGAATCTGATTATGACTTAACCTGAATCCACCCTGAACAAAATCAATACCTCACCTCCAAGTTACACTAAGATAGCCTTACTTAATACCAGTTTAAAAAAAAAAGACACAAATTAACGAACAGAATTAGAGCGAATTCCAATCATGGGAAGGGAGAGGAACATCTAAGATTGGTGAAGTTAATATGACCACCAATCCTAGTAGGTTAGGTTAGGTTAGGTTAGGTTAGATTACGTTAGATTAGGTTAGGTTAGGTTAGGTTAGGTTCGAGCCCATTGGACTTACACGATCTGGTCTGTTTGCTTGGATCTACTTATCGCCAACATGTAAACTCAAAACAGTATCTACAGCTTGGTGGAGATGGTCTACTCACCCCTGGTGTACGGTGTCCTCTGGGCTGAATAAGATCGTCTGTTGTTAGTCAAATAAAATATCCAAAGTGGCGTCCCAGTAAAGTGGTTAAAGGAGAGAAAGTACCGTATATTTACCGTTTAATATGTGACGGTACAGTATATCTACCGTTTAATAAGTGACGGTACAGTATCTCTACCGTTTAATAAGTGACGGTACAGTATATCTACCGTTTAATAAGTGACGGTACAGTATCTCTACCATTTAATAAGTGACGGTACAGTATATCTACCGTTTAATAAGTGACGGTACAGTATCTCTACCATTTAATAAGTGACGGTACAGTATATTTACCGTTTAATAAGTGACGGTACAGTATCTCTACCGTTTAATAAGTGACGGTACAGTATATCTACCATTTAATAAGTGACGGTACAGTATATCTACCGTTTAATAAGTGACGGTACAGTATCTCTACCGTTTAATAAGTGACGGTACAGTATATCTACCATTTAATAAGTGAAGTTACGGTATCTCCAGGGTTATATTAAAACTAATCTACTTATCAACTAACTTTATAAACTCATTAAAAACTTTCTAAAGAGATAATCAAACTGTCCTTCAACGACCAACACAAACTACTTAATCTATATACTTCTCAATTATCCCCAAAACAAGTGACTCAAGTGACTATTATCCCCAAAACAAGTGACTCAAATGACTATTATCCCCAAAACAAGTGACTCAAATGACTATTATCCCCAAAACAAGTGACTCAAGTGACTATTATCCCCAAAACAAGTGACTCAAATGACTATTATCCCCAAAACAAGTGACTCAAATGACTATTATCCCCAAAACAAGTGTAACATCATCACTACTAAATAATCTGAAGCACTCTAGATATACCATTACGACTTCTGAAATGCTTAAGACACCACTTGGGGAGGCGAGACGATGGTTAATATTTTTTGAGAGTCGTACTATGTATAAATCTCGTAACTGAAGATATAAGGATGAATCTAGCTGTTGACTTAAGCTCTAGTATAAATAAAAAACACGACCAAATCAGCAACGATATTATAAACATTATCTTAACTCAATATTGTTGCTGTTGTTAGAATGTTATTATTGTGTTTTTATCAACGGGGGTCTTGAAGCGTGTAGGGAGGTTAGTAATATAATAACTCAACAATGATAAAACAGTATTAGAGAACTGTGGATAATCATAGTACGAACATGAAGGAATCTGCTGCCATTTATTATATTTTGTAAATTATTCATTACTTCTAGGTAAACTTTTGGTAATTTCTCTCTCAAAAATTATCTCGTTTTACGTTTCATTTTTATCCACGTTGGTGAATGATGATGTTTCGTGTTCCTCCCGATCTTCAGACACAGGCATATAACCACAAACGTTTGGACCGTATGCTTTACATGACCCTACGAACGTTGTAGTTGTGGTTCATACTGTCTCATTAATGGTAAACCTTGCAGCACTGGTTCTCCCCTGCTTGGGAAATGAGGAGCCCCTTACACTACGGTAATACTAATAGGAATTATTTTACAATTGGACGCTCAAAATATATTTGCAAATGAATGGTTGCTGTAGGTAGAACTCACCCATTTCTATCACATTTCCTTGTGGTATTTTTATCGAAAATTCTGCCAAGTCGCCGCGAGTTGGCTGCTTGTTCACAACCGACTCGGTCTAAGTGTACTCTCACGTCCACACACACAAAAAATACGTAAAATTACACCATTACGCTTCAACAAGTTGCTTTCATTGGTACAGTCTCACCCAAAAGCTCTTTAACTCTCCCAACCAGCTATTGCCGCACTGCCCGCTTCAGATGTTTGGAACTGTCTCAATACCAACCGGAACATGAAACCGATACGAATGAATCTAAAGGTTCGAAGTAACAGACTCAAGTTCATACATCTGAAGCAGGCAGTACAGCATTAGGTGGTTGGGAGAGTTAAAGAGCTTTTGGGTGAGACTGTACCAAATAACAAAATAAGTATTTATTGTTTAATATGGAGGCCCCAATAGGAAGTTAGGTATGGTTCGATGAGGTTTCTTTGGTTGGTTAGGTTAGGTTAGGTCAGGTCAGGTCAGGTCCAGGTCAGGTTGGTTAGGTTAGGTCAGGTTAGGTTAGGTTAGGTTAGGTCAGGTTCTACATTAGGTTCATTATTATTCATTAGCGACGGAAGTGCATAGATCTAAAGTTACTCAGAATAATGAGATGTATATTACATGTGTTAAAACTGTAAAATCGCTCTGAGTCCACTTGTAAAAATTTACCGACTAAGTAATGGTATACAGGGACACCTTTCATATCATCCAACATTGACATTTTGCGAAAGACTACTGTTAAACGCTAATTTGCCACCACAGCTCTGGACAAGCGCACCCAACACCGTTATTTCCACTACACATTCTAACAAAATATCGTGACACGAGTTGAATACTAAATTAAATTCAGAAACACGGATTTACCGGGAATTTTATTTGTACCCTGAACCACTAGCAAAGTAAGGCATCGAACGCCAATGTCAGCGAGTCTGCTGCCGCCCACTACTGCACTTGTCACTTTTCACCACCCTCGGCTCCTGCACACCAGTAACTCCTACTCACCTGGTCGTCCACAAGACAGTGGAATCGCTACGGCGCGGGAACCGACGAAATCCAGGGCCGCATCTTACAACCAGTTCCGTGACACATGGCTACCCTAACATGACCTGTGCCATCACATGACCCCGCTGTTAGCAACGTGACACTGCGGTGCAGCTCAAACCTGCTCGTCACACAGTTGGCTCCACACTGCCTCCCAGCCGTCGTCGACCACGCGTATCGTACCGCTGGCCGCACCGCCACATAACATGTGCCTAAAAACTGCTCTTCAAATGTTAATTAACATTTCACTACGTTTGTCTTTATGCTTGAATTAAATTAGAATTCCCCCCCTCCCCAATCATTTTGAAGTAGAGGCATCAGCCATACTGTGCCGAGAGGCAAAATTAACTTGTCCACCGTACGACACGTACTTCATTGTGTGTCTGGCAGCATGGTACTGTCTTGCCAAATGTCCCGCGCGCCATCACTGAGTCGGACTATTGGTGCAGATACATTGTAAAATGATGATCTCAACTGAAAACGTTTGCGGACACATACTTATGTATCCAAACATTGAGGAACAATTATGGCTAATTTCTAAAATAACAATGAAAATATCGCAAAGTTCATTGAAATATCCCATTAATAATCATCTAAAGAGTTCATTCTGTAGTAAGCTTAACACATTTAACAAATCAGGATGTGTACCTCCATAGAAAAGGAAGTGTCCCTTACGTGAAAGAGAGGCATATGACGTTAATCAACCTCCTCCGCTTGAAATGGATCATTCTGTCCTCAACTAATTACAACACGTCTCTGATTTCTATATCCCCAGACCAGAGACGTCTTATTTAGTGACTACGCAGACGTGCTCTTAGTATGCCACGTTACTTATGATATTTGTATATAATTCTACACGGGAATTAATTTACAACGAAACATTATGACACAAGACCGAACACCAGGAGGTAATATCGTGGTTTTGCGTACCTTCCTGGCTCACCTTTATGACATCCTGTATAAGCCACACACACACACACACTTCTCCGCCAACGTTAGCCTAATCTTTTTTGTATATTCTATCCAGTTATCTAGCGTTAGGGTGTTTAATCATCAGGTGAAATAAAGTGGGTGCCTAATCTTCACATGGTACCGAAAAAAACAATCCCTTACTTTACATCTAAGGTCCCTCTAACTAGTAAATTAATGGCTAAAGCACATAGGTCTTTGGGTTTTTTTTACAACTCTGCCGGTGACACAATGAGGAATACAAATATAAAATAAATTTATAAAGCAATGACTTACCTAACCTAAGGTGACAAAACACTTATTAGGACTCACCGTTGGCTAGAATCTCTTGGGCCTTGGGAGGCATTTTAATTTACTTGAGAAAACTCCATCCTTCAGTAATATATTGAGGAAATACTTTCCTTCCTGCTGATTTACCAATAATTCTATCCCCCGATTAATATATCAAGAGAACCCGTTTTGTGGGTTAATTCCACTGAAACAACACTTTATTTTCTATGGCCACTCATTTCTACATTAATTTCTTTACCATTCTTCACCAGTTTTACAGCTTTCCTGGCGAAAGTAAATTGTTAAAAAGAAAGGTAAATCAGAATAAAGAGCTCTCTCTCTCTCTCTTAAGTTTGTGCAGCTAAGTGTAAGCAACGAACTTGTGCTTGTATGCAAAAGTCAATATTCCTTACCATTCATGTCCACCACCTTTGCAGGAAATATAAAAACCATAAATTTGTTTGAAAAATTACTATATTTTTTGCTGCAAAATTTACCTCATACCACATCCACAACTCCTATTGGTGCATTATTCAGTAATTTTAAATCAGTATTGTTTTCGTTTTTTTTTTCGTAAATAAATAATACATTCCACAGGTTAAACAGCAGATGCATTCCTACTACAGTCCTTATACAGTACTATAATCCTATCACAAATTACTGCATACTCTAATATCCCCAAAATTTTCATGACCCCAGCATAACAACAATAGTTTTACAATATTTCCCTATGCTGTACTGCACAACCCTCAAACACTGGAGATGCCAAATACTGTAAACTATAATGCAAAAAAAAAAAGTTTTATTTACAATCATAATGTACAATACAATCATTTTGTCTGATTCTTCTAACTTGATTTAAGAAACTTGACTTAACTAGCTTACATTTAAAATATTTTAGCATAAGAGGAGGGAATGTTGGGATGTGCTGTACCAATGATTCTTTTCTGCCTTGCCAGATGAATATTGTACCTGCATAGGATTTTGTAAATGTGAAAATTACTTGCATATAGAGAAAAATGGTCCCTAATTTGTCTGTTCTGTAAATAGAGGAATAGGTGCACAGTACAACACTCATATTCTGTACCGGTAGTTTTCAGAGATGGGTAAGAAGTGAAGTTTTCAAATGGAATAAAATTGTGGGCACTAAGAAGAACCAGGAATACTAGTATACCTTCCAAATGTTAAGTGAAGCAAGATTTACTGGAGAAATGCAGTGTCAATGAAGAGTTCGGCAACAGGTACTTGTGAACTGGTGTCATGCATAGTAAAGAAACTTACAAAACACATTAATTTGGGACTATGAGACAATATGTTTGGGGATTTGAATGCGAGGTAAAATGAATACTGGAATAGGGGAGAAGAAATGAAGGCGAGAGAATTTTAAAAAGGCTGTGACAATGTGTCGTGGTTACAGGAATATTAGCAATAATATATTTTAGTAAGTTACAAACAAGTGAAGGGATGAGAGAGGCATAAAAGGGCCAAAGATATGTGGAAAAGGGAGAGAAAAATGGATTGGATTGAAGATTTCTAAATGTCATCTAGCATCAAATTTAAGAGAAAAACATACCCAATACAAACACGAGGAAATGTTATTCTACTTATCCATTTATAACACTGTTGCCACTAAAAGTTGGCAAATCCCTCACCACATCCTACCACAGATGGATGGAAGGCACTCATTCCTAAATTCCCTACCCAAGACGGTGAGACAAAAAGAGTCAACATAAAGGAAATCAAGGTGTGTAAACAGATTCCTCTAATATTTCCCATGCTTCATTTTACTATTCTCTTTAACACAACCTCATACCTTGCAAACATTTTAAAATTTACAAGATTTTTATGCACACACATACACTGGGCAGTGAGAGTAATATGCAACTGTTGGTAAGCAATCCAATTAAAATATTTTTTTTTTTTACATAAAACATTGGTGCTAATAGAAGATACAGAATCTATAAAATTATTGATAAGCCCAAAACACTTTTTTGGTCTAATCATAAGTATGAACTTTCTTACTACAATATTCAATTAATTTACTTCAAGCAAAATATTCTCCATATATTTTAACTTAATATCTCCTAAAGATCTTGACAAATGACCTTGTTTCCTGCTGGGGACCACCATTTCATGAGGTGCCCCATCAAGAATCTTCCCAAACATTTCAGCCACCTTCAAGTGTCAAAAGACATCAGTAGGAAACCTTGAAATATTTGTTGAAGAATAAATAAATAAACAGGAGCATTGGTACAATGCAATCCCTTACCCTCTTGACCTTTGACCATATTTCATAAAATTGGCCCGAGTCATTGGATCACTATTAAGGGAGCTATTCCAATTAAGGAATATTATTGAGCCAATGAAAATTGGTGAAACAATGGTTTGTATGTTCATTGAGTTTTCTATGCAAACTGATTCAACATCTTGCCTAGATTGATTAAAATACCAGCACCTTTCTTGGGGAACTAAGGTAAAAAGTATAAATTATTAAAACTAGTCAAATAATCAATAACCACGCTGCAAGCATATGCTGATGAAATCTGTTCTCTGGTTTTATCTAACAAAATAGTAGGTCTAACAATGGTACAAGTGAAGCAGTGGCCCCCATATATACAGCACATTAAAAAGAAATTAAAATGCCTTTATGAAAAACCACTGAACATGACTAATTAATAATGGGATGCAGCCTGTGAAATGCATTACAAGAAGTGAAGAGAGAGGAAGTCAGATATGGGGAATGCAAATGAAAAAATTTACATTTTTTATGGTATGAAATGCGAGGCGAGTCTGAAGCTGTGTAGCACACATTTGTTTTGATGTAATGTGACCACTATTTTAATATAGTTTAGAAGTGATAATACAGTACAGGACACTCCTGGAGACAATCATCTGTAAATAGTGCATTATCATCACCACCACTACTACCATTTTACGGCCATTTTCCATTCCTGCGTGGATAAGCCGTGGTTACCCGATGGCAGGGTGTCCCAGTTACCATCGGGCAAATTTGAAGCAAGTTTTACAGCTGGATTCCTATCGCCAACTCATTTTTCCAGTGGAAACTGGGACCTATATGAAGGACTTCCAAGAGTCTTCTTAGCTAGCAAGGCAGGATCACTACTCAGAGGTAATCATAGATTACCCGCCTATCTATTGTTAAGATAGCATGATGTGGCTATATAGTGTACTACCAGTAGGTCATTACATTCTGTAGATGTGATTATACAATGAACTACCAGACACATCACTATGAATCAACATAATATGGACGTGGTTATACATTTTACTAACCGATGGACCATTATGTGTCAGTGTAAAGTGTATGTGATTATTCAGTAAAGTGAGATATGTAATGTACTCAAAAAGTAAAAGGAGATAAAATAGAGGAAACTAAAGGTGACTTGGAATAAGGATGTATTAAGTAGTACAGTACTATCTAACAAACTCTGAATTAGACCTGCAATTAGAGTAAGGAACAATAATTTATGCTAAGAAAATAATAATGCCACATCATTGGACATACAATGGATTTCATTTGGATTTTAATAGTGACAAATTCAAGATTGTGATTTGATCACAGTAAAATTGGAAAGAAGTTTGTGCTCAAAGCAAAAATCCTCCAGTGAGGTGCAGGGTGAAAGTTGGAGTATATTGTATGCAAGTTACACACAAAAGACAACTGTGATGATACAAAAACTTTAAAGGGAAAATATACTATAAAAAGTACATATACACTACACATGTACAGTACTACTATCTAACATCAGTCTGTAATTACGTATGTACTGTACGTACTCCTTATTCATATAAACAAACAATACATGCATGCACACACATACACATGACTTCTTGCAGACATACATATGTACACATAAAATAACACTTACAGAATTATTAAAAAATATTTCCTTTAAACACTTAAGTATTTTTCCTCTAATACTGTACTTAAGTATTTCTTTTCCCATAATACTGAACTTCAATATTTTTAGACTACAAAATATAATTTCCAATTTTCAAAGAAGATTATACAAACAGAAGTCTATAGCATCAGTAGAAAGAGACCTTGTTGCTTCACCAGAGTACTTACAATAACACAATGCCCTGAGTTATCCAACAAAAACTGGCCATCAATCCTTCTCTGGATACTTCTGTTTATAAATGGATTCCAAGCACAAATATATTTCCTACAATTACAAAACAACGTTGCAGAGGAAACTTCCACACTTTCTTGTACCTGTACTACAATACTCACCAACACAAAATGTCTCGTAAATTTGATAGTCAGTTGTTTTGCGACACTGAATTAAAATAAGACTAGAAGTTCATAAATTGTAACTGTCAAAATTTTTTACCTTTGATAAAACTTTAACATTACAATCCCTTCTATTCTCCTGTCTGTCAGTTCTTCCTAAAAATATTTTCTCAAGTTGTTAATCATTCATGAAAAATTTATATCTCCAGAAAACATATCTAAATGCTTTTAAATTTACGGACTCCAAAAACCAGAAACACTATTTAGAATATGTCTCACTTAATCAGTCAAAAAACATCTGCCTGATTTATCTATTTTCTTTTCTTCAAATAAAAATAAATATCACAAATGAACAAATTGAGACATCACAACCTCAATATCACATGCTAAAATAAACATTTTCTTTTACCATGTAAATGTCCAATTTATATTGTGCCTCTATCTTTCTACAGTAATTCCTTAAGTAAAGCTCTATCAATTATTCTAAAATATACAAATATACATTTCAACTAATATTATACAAATTCAATCCCTTCAAATTTGTAGTCACCAATTTTTGTTTCAGGTAATAGCACTTTTCCAGCCATATTGATGGCCATGATAAATGAAGCGACCTTTCCATTCACCTCTTCCGACTTGAGCGCCACAATTAAATTTTCCTTTGTGCCAGGAATGAACTTGAAGCTTGAAAAACCATGAGTGTCTATCTTTTCCCCCACATGTTTCACCTGAAAGAATATACTGTGGTTTAGTTAACCAATACAACATATTATAAAGATTTGTGTTATAGTAAGGATGGGGCTAGGTCGAGTGGATAGAAAAAAATGTTTTGTTGAGCAGAAAGAGATTTTTTTTTTTTTTTGAAACCAGGAACCAAAACAAAACAAATATCCTCCCTTCATTGTCATTTTTTTTTACTCTTATTGCCAAAACTGATGTGATCTGATATTGTGTTCTCCCTCCTCAACAAGGCCTCATGATATCTATCTGGTATATCCGTCATTACACACAGCCTAACGTCAGCCCATCACCCAATAGCAAATTTTGAGGAAATTGGTAATCTGGAACAAACTTTTGATTTTCTAAGATACAAGTGTAACTAATGGGGGTTTTATTGATGTACTGATTGTTCTTTCTTCAGTAATACTCTCACCTCCTAGCAAGTGGTACATCAAATACTGTACTTTAAGTGCTACACATTTTTCCAAATAAAAAAATATATATATGGGTGTACTGAACTGCACTGTACTTCCTATTTCCTTATTATTTCATGAATGCCATCATCAAACTTTCTATAACTTGAAGACATATTTCTTAAAACAGTTATAAACAAGTAATTACTGTATATTTTCCTAAACTTTTTCTAAATCATATTTCAATAAGGAGTTGGGTGACGTTAAGTTGTGTGAAGTGACAGGGACGAGCCAGACAGATCCTTGGGTGTTTGTTGTGGAAGGAGAATACCAAAGAAGAACACAGTGAAAGAGAGGAGATTCTTCCTCTTTTTAAGAAGCTTTCAGAATCATCTTACTCACTTCAGTGACAACAAGCCAACAACTAAAATAAAGGTTTTTAAAAATCTCTAGCACAGTACAGTACTGTACTGTACTACGGTGGGATTCTGAGACTGAGGATGTCAATATGGTCAAGTACTGTACAACCTTCCTTTAAATACTGTATAGGACATGGTATGATGCAAACACACAGAAAAGTTACCAGAACCTTAACCCCATGTGTATCGGGGTCTCTCTTTGCTGAATAAAATCATCTGACGTTAGCCAAATAAAATATCACAAGTGGCATCCCCGTATAGCTATTAAGTACTACAGGTACTTACAAAGAAAAGCTAAATAAATACCTTAATATTTTCAAATCCTTCTGTTGCTTCCAGCATAAGGTTAGTACCACGATGCTCATCATCATTCTCATTGTAACGTGTAGATGAAGCTCTGCGTGGGAGGAAGACCCATCGTTGTAATCTTTCAGACCATCCACATGACTCGTGTATCATGTAACCTGGTAAAATTTGAAAAGTTATTCATAATATGCATTATATATTGCTTTCCGTTATTAATAGCTGTAGGAGCCCATTGTTAATTACTCATACTTCCCAATAATGATGAGAAGGAATGCTCTACACACCAGCATCAATGGTTTGACCAATTTGTTAAAGTACAGTCAATCCAGTAAAAAATTCTTAGTACTGTAAAGTACCCTGCACTGTATAAATAGGTAGGAATTATATCTGCAGGACTTAAAAGCCTCATTCTACACATTAACCACAAGGTTAACTACAGTACCAAAAACAAAACAAAAACATAGGTGTTAAGTAATTAGCATTAGAAAAGTAATTAAAACATTTGAGATGTCATTTGGATATACATACCCCCTGTACTGTATAGTGTATACTGTATACATATATACAGTACTGTATATTACAGTATATACTGTATAAGTTACAGAGCCTACTTTTGATGTGAAGCTACATAAATCATCAAGATGCAATTGCTTGTAAAGTTTATGACCATTTGGCCAATAATGTTAAAGGAGTGAGGTCATATATACAGACAGACAGATAAGAGTACAGTAAGACTGTTGCAAATGGCCAAAGGCAATACAGTACAGCTATATACATTACTATTTTCTTCCACATTTGTGGTGAATCATATAAATCAGATCTATTTCTGAGGAGGGGAAAAATCAACTTTACCTGGGAAGAAAATTCCAACTGATTCACGTAGCTTTTCATAATTCTTGGTCCAGTCGTGATGCTCAATGAAGCCATGTGTGGTGATGGTCTTGACCCACTGTGGGTTGTGGTTGACCAACTCTCCTGTGCTTGTGGTCCATTCTTTACCTAGCCCACCAACAATCAATGTCTCATCCTTTACTGTTGCCCATTCACTTTTGAAGCCTGGAAATATTTATCATTTACGGAGTTAATTAAACCCAGATTTATACTGACATTCCTTTCACACATTATTCATTCAATGCAGAAGTCTGCATAGTTCCACAAGTTATTTCTGAAGGTATTTTTTTCTCTTCTCATCATTAAGCTCATTTTATAATAACATGAAAATGAAAAATTAGAATACAGTAATATCTCCGCTAGCCGGAAACCCTCAAACCCAAAACTCTCAAATAGCCGGAATTGAAATTTTCTTAGAAAATCGTTCCCAAAGCCGGAATTTTCCGGAAAATTACGGCGTTGGGAATGATTTTCCGAGGGGCACATTTTCCGGAAAATTCCGGGTTTGAGAGATGAAAATCATGTGCATTTTCTGGAAATTCCGAGGAAAAATTTCCGTTACCCAAAAAATTCCGGGGATGAGGGATATTTTTCCGGGTTCGAGAGATGAGGTAATGGGCAATTACTGTAACTTCCAAGAAAATTTTTCCGTTACCCGGAAAATTCCTGGAAGGAGGGATTTTCTTCCAGCTCTGAGAGAGTCATCTCGTTACCCGGAAATTTCTCATTCCCAGAAGTGCTTTGCACCAATTGTTCCGGCTAACGGAGATATCACTGTACTACTATATTATAGGTTGAATAATCTCAAAACTCAATGAATATGATCACGTTTGAATGCACTACATTAAATAATTTTATTACTTTGCTACACAACTTAAAAGCATATTTGGACAGGTTCATTAGTTTAGCATTACAGAACTGTATTAGAATTCTCGTTGATCTTGCCTAACTAGCAAGTCTGGATTTTCTGATTTTCATCCTGGACATAAGTCAGAGAACCAAGCTAAACCATATACTGTACAGTATACTATTCTTAAAAGACCTGATACTTCAGAATTTGTAATATTATACCTTTCATTTCTCTGCCGCTCCCATCAGTGAGGATAACCCATGGAATAGCTTTGTTGCGATGAAGGTCAATTTCATATATAATACCAGTCCGATCATCCACTGCATACAGCTTGCCATTAAAAATAACCAGCTCAGACAATTCCATCCCTCGACCTCCATATGCCATATTGGACGTGAGAGTTATAAGATCCTTATCCCATTCAACACTAACTTCTTGATTTTCAACACTGACAGTAAGGTAACCCTGAAATAAATGTAATAAGAATGTTAGGATGTTTCTATGAAATACAAGTACATAGCACATTGTCACCCTGCACATATTTCAACTGCCATCCGAGTTAGCCATATTGATGTTTATGCATCAATCCAATTAGTCTCGGCAAACTTCTACACTATCTAATGGGAGGTGGGAGAGCAAAGGAACTGGGGTTACCTTAATGGCATGTCCCTACTGTGGATACAATTGGCTCTGAATGAAGGGTCATGATTGACACTAATGGGAACCCTGGAGGATCTTATTCATGATAGTTCACTGTATTAATTACTCAATCATTTTAAGATATATTTGTAATTTTTAAAAAATACAACTGCTTCAAAGTCAAGCATACAACCTTACAACAACAATGGCCCTTATACAGAACACTACTTGTCAATAAGCAAAAAATTAAACACATCAAACTACAAAGTTTTCCTCTCAACAATACCTTTTTCATAAAGCTGATCCATGTGTTCTTCTCTGTAGGGTGCTTGGAGTCCACATCAAGATCAGTCACAATTGCTATGCGGTATTTAATGTAACCTCGATCACTATATACGGGTGCTGTCAGAGGGTAAGTACTGCAAGTAAGAAATGAGGTTAATGCTACAACATAACACACCTCATAAAACAATGTTAACACTAATGATTATAATAACAGTACAGAAAATTCTCAGTTAATGAATGGGTTAGGACTAAAGGACCAGTTCTTAAGGTCTGGTTCTTAAAGTCTATTTGTAAGACTTCTGGCAGTAGTTTTGCATTATAAAAAAGGTAAAAGTATACTGTACTACCATATCTTCAATAATGAATTCCTTAACTCATATAAATTAAAATGTATACATTATACTGGTTAATAAACACATTCTAACATAAGCCCAACCTCTAGTCACAGTAATTTATGTGTACAAAAAGAAGTCCCCTATTTACTAACCTGGAGTATGACCATAAAAACAGCATGAAATCTGAGAGGAGACTGGTAACTAATCTGAATGCAACAACTTATTTATAGATCAGTATCATGGCTATATTACTGAGCTTGTTTTGAACCACAACAAAAGTACAGTATACATATATCTTTTGGTTTTGTCATGACTAGGGGCTGTTGATTGTCTGGTGACCTTAAAAACTGAAATTTCACACCAGCCTACAGACACAACAAAAAGTGAAAAGAGATATAGCTACGGGTAATGAAGGGAGCAAACAGAGTATTTTCTTCATCAAATATAATATGCTTACCTTCCCACAGAAAATAAAATAGCTCTGAATGTTTTAAAATTATTCCTAGTGTAGATTTTCTCCTCATCTTTGCAGTGTCACAGTACATAATTGTTGTTAAAATTTACAATCAGCCAGCAAAAATTAACTTTGGTCAATAAATCTTACCTGTTGTAATAAGTAAACCAATTGCGAGTATGGTGGTGACCGTGACTGTGTTCCTCTCCGTGCCCCCATAAGTCATTAGTAAGATTGCTAGTGCCTAGGCGAGAGGCTGGCATGATCAGAAACAGCACCAGGAGAGAGATTAGGCCAATTACTGCCACTAGAGTAACAAATTTGGTCTGAAAGGCAGAAAGAAAAGGCATTGTAATAACAATAAATATTTGAGGTTTCTCAGTCACATGATCAAAAATGTAAATGCATGTTTGATGGTGATCAGTGATGAGCACAATCTGGGTGGAAGTTAGTCTATGGAATGTCAAATTGAAGTGAAAACATCAACATGGATGAGAAGCAAGGAAAACTGACCAGGTGAGGATAAATGTCATTTAGACAGGCACAAGCAAATTTTTTCCAAGTGTCACGGTAAGTAAGCTTCATAAGTTCACTTGCCCGGGACAAGTAAATGTTCCACATAATCTGCACAGCCTGATGTGTGCACATAAACAGTACTGTAATGTATATACAAAAACAAACACATGAACACAATAAAAATTACAATATGAAAAACTTACCTGAACACGAAGAGTGGAGTTTCCAACTCTATAGGAAAGAGGTGTTCGACTGAACACCGCTTGCCTCATATCTAACACACTGCTATTATTTTCTAACATGTCTTCTTCAGATGAGTTTGACATGAGGTTACTCAAACACAAGTCTCAGATGATTGACGATGGCAGTTACTAAAATGGTATCCAAAGTTCTGAAAGAATAACAAATAATTCAGAAGACTTAACAGTGATATATAAACTAAGTGAAATTCCATCAAAATTTCAAGGCAACATAATTTTTAATGCAGAGAATATTAATCCAGTGGAACCAAGAAAATAGTAGAAAAAGACAACCAAGCTGATCAAAAGAGCCAACCTCAATAAAACTAACCAACACTATCCTTGGTTAGGTTTAGTTCATTCTGTTGGACTACCTTATGCAGTGTATGTACTAGGTTTTTCTTTGTTACCCTCTAGATCTGTGACAGTGTACTATTTTGAGCACTACACTACCACTTTAACAATTTGTTTTAAATCTCTTTTTTTTCACTAGAAGAACTGTATTTAAATTGTCATAATTATAAGGAATTTGAATCTTTATCATTATGAAGTTTATATTGCAACTTACTGTATTTTTACCCCATGGTGTCCATTGGCAAATAGTCCATTATAGCACATATCTATACTGCACTGTACAGTATTATGCTTAAAGAGCATTATAGTAATAAATAAATAAATAAATATATTTTGTGTCATGTCATACTGAATGTCAACAAAGATGCTTGTGAATTTATGTCCATTACATGAAAGATAACCAGACATTGATCTAAATGTGGTAGATATGACAGGTCATGTCTGACATTTTCCTTCGCAGATTTCAGACGTAAGCTATATTACACAATACGGATTAATCATTCACTTTTGTCAGCTTCACGAGGTGAGAAAGCTTTGTTGTTCTCTGGAGAAATTTTTAAAGATTTAGTAGAGTATATGCACGGAAGTCTACATTAATTTTAATTTAGGATGATTAAGCATAAAAAATAAGAATACCTGTACTGTACTCTATCAGGTATTCTATTGCATTTTTGATGGAAATTTTGAGGTTTTGTTATTTTCATTATATAGTTCCGAAAATCTTACAACTTGGACCAGTTTTCAGTTCACTGGAACAAATTTCATGGTAAAGTTACGTAAAGTTAGGTCAGGATTCCTTAGGTTTGGTTTGGTCAGTTTTGTGTGTTTATACCCCACAATTTCCCTCAACTTCAGAGTGGGGGTGGGTCAGATCTTCATAACTATTCATTTTCGCCAGAATGAGGGTCAGAGTCTGCATATTTTTTTAAACCACAAGGAAAAACATAAGAAAAGCCTATAGTGATTTGCCGGGTATTGTTGCATTTTCAACCAATATGCAGCCGAAGGTTTTTTATTTAAAAAAAAACATATCTAGTCGAGAACTGTCTTCTGAACCCTACTTTTTCCTGTTGCATTCTTTGTTGGAAATCTGGAAATCAATGTTTTGGTAGTAAGTGGTGGGGGCTATCTCAAAAACGAGCGATTTCTGACAAAAATCAATATAAAAATCAAATAAAACACATAAAAACACACTGCTCCACTCGAACCATAGTGGTTGAAAATGCAAGTTTACCGATTGCCATGAATGAACTGTTGTACTTTACCGAGAAAGTTCTTAAGTTGGTGGTAAGGACGCCTCACAGTTGTCAAGTATTACCAGTATTTTTCTTTAAGAGGATGGTTGACTCCAGCTACTATCCTTAAGTACTGTATATATTACTCTAGTAGATATAAGTTGCTAAAATAAAAAATAGCACACCATATGAACCAATGTTACTTTACGTTCACTACTTATGACTGACTTGTATTGTGTTGGCCTTCCCTCAATTTTCCTTAGCCTTGACGAATAATGAATACAGTTATTACTATTTACTGATCTTACTTCAAAACTTTCCTCCCAACTCACCTCACTCAGTACCTTTAACCTACATTTGAGGCATGACGAGGGGTGGTATGAGGCAGGTGAAGACTTAACAGGTGTAGTGAGTCCTGGCCGAGAGTCAGGGAGGCGGACGTGGCATGTTTGACAGTGTTCTACGGCCTCACTATAAACTACAGTGTTTCCTTTGTATCCTCTAGTCTAGCCTAGTTGAATCCAGAAAGTCTTGTACAGTACCTAAATGATATATAATTATCTATTCATGCAATGTGATCTCTCTATTTCGTTTTGATTTAACTATACTTCAAGTTTTCATGCAAAATGAGGTTAATAACCTTAGGTCATCAAGCATTATACTGTATTCAAATAGGATGGTATAATTTTCAAAAGTATGGGTCTAATTCGTTTTTAATTAATAAATAAACGGTTAATGGGACATATTTAATGAATAAAAAAGAAAATGGAATCCAGGAAAAAATAATAGGAAAAAGTCAGTCAGGAAAGTCACAAAACCTAATCTAACCTAATTTAGCCTAACCAAATTTAATTGTCATGTACCGTCAGTATGTGAAGGATTTTAACACACGTTTTTGTTTCATTACCTTTTACTTTGTTAAAAATAACCGACTTACAATATTTATTTTTATTTTATTACTTCAATTGTTTATGGTGTTTAAATAAAATATGACTTTTTTCCTGTTTTTTCCTAGTCAAAACTGTGAATTCTTTTACTTCTGAACTTTTTACTTCCTCCTGTTACTTTATATCTATACACCATAAAATCGGGGCCGGATTAAGCTTAATAGGGGCCTAAGACACAGATCAACTTGGGGCCCCCTATCCTCAAGGTATATATATATAGCAAGAACAAAATATACCAAAATTTATCAATGATTTCATCAATATTAAGCTTCTGCAAAATAACACATTCAATGTTCATAAGAGACAGAAAATTGAGACGTTGCTAGGACATCGTTGAACAAAGTTCATGTTTTATATGCTTCAACTTCGAGAATGTTTAGATTTGGGGGCCCTTTAGAGTCGGGGGGCCTGAGGCCAGTGCCTCAAGTGCCTCATGGTTAACCTGGCACTGCATAAAATGTCCTCTCCATCCCCTAAAACACTGATCCTTTCAACAGCTGGGAGTATGGCATCCATGTCTGTACTTTCTATATGCAAGTTACTTCTTACAACATTACTTTCCAATTCTAAATTATATCCTGGTGGAGGTTTCCTTACTTATACTGTACCTAACCTTTCCAAGTAATAGTTAGTTTCCTATAACAAATAAATTGCTTTATGGCTGCTCTCAGGTTTTTTATACAGTATTCAGCATTTTCCTCGTAAATTTCCATTTTAATGTTGAGGCCTGCAATCAGGTTGCCACACCTATTAAGTGTATTTTCCTCTATAATAAGAATATTATCAGGATTCAAGCATAGTGACAAAATACATAGAATTACATATTGTTTTTATATTTTATAAGCTTAAGGTGGTAGTAGATTTAAGCATAATTTTTTGTTTTAATATTGTTTGCCAAATAAAGATCATGATCAATTCCAGATAGGTAAACCTACAATTGAGTTATGTTATTGGTGACTTGTGGATGATTCAACAAACCCTAACCATGGAAAAAAAATTAAACAAATCTCCTTCTTCAGACATGTGGGAGAGAGTTATTTTGAAGGACAAACACAAACTAATGGTCGAGAATAAGTTATATAAGAACCACCCTAACTTGCAGAAAAACACTGAATTTAGGATACAGACACATAGGCTTTCTTTATTAATTTTAATCAGTTGTACTTCACATACAAATTATAAAGTTCTCCTTTCCAATAATAAAAAAGGCAGTGGCTAAATTACTGGTCATGGCAAAAGAGCCTGACAGGCATGTTTTGGGCTATTTTGCCAGTCCACTCTTTATGAAATAGATGTAATGATATACTGTAATAGCATTTACTGTATTATCAACTACTTATTACAAATTAGGTTATCCTAACCTTACGACTTTGGGTCCCCTGGATTCCCCAGCATACTAAATATCTCAGTTCTAGGTTGCTTGAGAGGAAAATTTCATAGAAGAAACGTGTCTAAGCTAGGAGTTCCTAAGCATTTTCTAATGCAACCCCATCTAGTATTGTTGCCTTACCAGTGTGACCCCTATACATATGGACATATTTTTATACGTATTAAGCTGTGAAAATAAAATTAGGAAAATGCATTACATTACTAAGAAGTCTAAAGGTTATCACTCGCAGAAACATGTGCTAAAGTGTCATAGAAGAAAATCTTGTTTTTGTCTGAGTTATTATTAAACACTAAAAACCCAATACAGCTCCTCCCCGACTTACGACGGGGTTAGGGACCCAAATCCAGGTCGTAAGTCAAAATGGTCGTAAGTCGAAAATGCTTAAATAATAATACATAGAAAATCTAAAATGGGTGTATCTTTTTCTTCTCAGCACCACAAAACTCTCACTTTTAAGCTTGCCAGCCATTTTAAAGTGAATTACAAACTAAAATTTTGTCAGTACAGTACACAACGCAATCACTGACGTTGGGACTTGAAAATACATAATTTGACAAAATTTTGGTACGACTGAGGCGGTCGTATGTCCGGGTGGTCGTAAGTCGAGTAGGTTGTAAGTCGGGGAGGAGCTGTAGTCAATTATGTCCTCTATTATAAACTGACCCACAGCTCAGCCTCACCGAGTTCTACTGGGTGGTGAGTCGGCTACACAATTACATAATGTATAAATCTAAAAAAAAAATATTTTTTTTTGTACATAAATATCACCATGTCATGTTTTTCTACACATAATGCAATAATACTATTATATAATACTTCTATTACATTAACAATGGACTGGCAAAATTGCCCAAAACAGCTTGTCAGGCTATTCTGCCATAACTGGTAATTAAGCCTGTCAAGCTATTTTGCTGTGACCAGTAATGTAGCCTATTTGTAAAAAAAAAATATTCCACGTGAAAGATACAGTCTAAAAATGTAACTACATATACATATAAACTGGATGGAGAACAGCCATTATTATCAAATGAGATTATATAACTCTGGGCCCTCTTGCCACCAACATCAATAAAATATTTTCCAACTTCTTCCATCAACACAAACTGTGTGTATCATTTTGCTTAAACTTTATGTGATCTTCTTGAAGACACATGCCCGGTACAGACCTAAAAAAAGACAATATTTAATCAATACACTGTATTGCACAAGACAAAAATGTGGAAATATTTAGACTAACAACAAAATATGAACCACTACATTTGAACACAGAGCTAATGACCAGTAACAGACTCTAATATATTGGGAAACCAAAACCAAGAAATACGACATTAAAATACCACCAGCCGACATACTCACTCTCACTTTATGATTACTGTACTAGTAAACAATGCTTGGTCATTCACCCTACTCTCATGTACATTTTATAAGTTTACAGTCAAATTCCCTTTATCATCTAACCTACACCTTATTCTTGTTGGTGTTATAATCTTTCTCACATTATACTGCTCAAAACTTTCCATCTATTGTCCATGCCAAAAAGTACACTGATAACTATTCTAAATAAAGACACAATAGATATGACAGCATTATATATATATACACAGTATATTGGTAAACTTACACAGTGCCTCCCATTCTGATTTTGAAAGAGTCCTTATGCGACTAACACCCTCTTTGCTTGCCAAGTGTTCCTGTGCATGACTGTATTCTCCATCTGTCTCTGTTGACTGCTCATCAGTGGGATAATTCTGTTGACAGTATAATGAGACCAGTAACAAATATCTTCACAGAATTTCCTTTATGAGACTATTCAATACAATTCACCATCACATAGTATGAGACACATAATAATGGTTTTAAAAGTTGTACCATGTTGGATCATTGGTGATATAGTGTAGTATTATTGATGCTATGATTACTAGGTACTATATATAACTCATAAGAATTATAGATGGGCACACAATTATCCTCTAAAAGTCAGCAATAAATGATCTAGTGTTAAATGTTTGCTACATTACATAATTATTTGGCCTACTAAATGTCTCATTAAAGTAATCAACTCTAATGTAGATAAGTAGCCTTATCTCACCAATCTAATCTCATTTAACCTGTGGAGTTACCAAAAATAAATAAGCCAACCTATAGCAATCTTATAAAACTTCCCATTACCAATTAAACTTAACATGAGACCTTAGTGTAAAATTACTTAATAGTGCTATATAATTCTATTAACTACTTTAATATAATAGCAATCACAATACATAACACTATATAAATACAACACTCATATGTAACAAAAGAAACTTCAAGGGCTATGTGCAGCCCATCAACCTAACCAAGCTAAATGACAGTCTCCTATAGGAAAAATATAAGAAATATATCTCAGCTTCCCAAGGCCACAAAGTCCTGAGATGTATTCATGGTATTAGCTCATGAAAGTAGCTGATCCCTACACCTTTCTCAGTGTGGTGGTCTTATGATACCTTCCAGCCTCAATGATCATATGAGACACTGAAGTTGTGCAGGACCTTCAAAATACTGCATCATCTGCATCACCCCTCCCCCCCCTTTTTTTAGTTGTTCTGCAAAGTCACTGGTTTTCTGAACCTCCTAGATAACTGATTTTAGAATTTATGTAGTTCCCCAGTAAATTGTGTTTAAAGAATGTGAAAACATACCTCCAGAGCTTTCATAACAGACATTAGATGTTGACATTCCTGGTCCTTTAATGCATCATTATATACAGTAGCAAAATCTCTACTCCAAAGCAGCTGAAGATCCCACTTTTTAGCTAACCTGGAAGAAAATGCAAAGAATCAGTAGACCAGCACCAGCTATGCCACCCTGCGTATAGTAATAGGAAATGGCTTATATGCAAGAGAAAAACACAATGCATTTGCCATATAAAGATATTAATTAATTTTATTTATTCTATATATAAACCAAGAGCAGAAGTAATGGTTAGAGACCTGAGCTAACATTGAGGTTATTTAAATATATCTATTCTGTACCTATTCATGAGTCAAAAACAGTTGTAGACTATGAGCTTTCATTTAGATCCACACCACATTTCTATATCAAGTGATACCATATTTGAAACATGCAAGAAAGTACATCCTCTTCAGTTTGAAATTCCCAAATTACCACCAAAATAACTGTTGAGTTTCTTAAGATCATTGCTTTGTTATCTGCATGGTGACATCACTCTTTCATCAGTGATCACCATTTGCAGTTACAGATGGATTTTGTTTATACTTATTTCTGTGGGTTTTACTCTTACTCTGTCCTAATAATAGCATCTGAGAGATACTGACAAGTGTAGTGGTGCAAAGAGGAAGCATGTTACTCTTACCAATATGCAGGTAACTGAAAAATTAGGAAAAATTAGATGAGGATGATACTGGCATAACCTGAAGATACACTAAAGGTGTTGGAAACACAACCATATACAATACTAAGAAGTAACACAAATATAGTGTATGCTGAAATATAATGCTGAGAGTGATTTAAATAATAGCCCTGTGAAGTACAAAAGTAGTGCAGCCAATAATTGGAACACTGCACAGCTCCAAGGATTGATACTAAAAGACTGTCTATACTGTATTCCAAAATGATTTGAAGTGATCAAGGATGCATTAAGTGACAAATGTCAAATTAAGGAAATGAAACAGTGTACAGTATAATCATACCTTTTTTTATACAAAAATCTTAAATGGAAATAAAATCTGGAGTAAGATGATGACACTATAATGTAATGATCTTAGATACTACAGTATGTTGGTCACTTTAAGGCCTGTTTGAAAGACTCGTCATCACTTTACATCCATTAAAGATGGAGAATAATAATTTCACAAGAATGAAATACGTGAAGAGACTTTGGTTGTGGGGAGAGAAAGTGCAAGTCCACTTGAGCATTCTGGAATGAGAAATAGTTACCATATTTGGAACATATTACTTTTAATTTAGGAAACTGCTAAATGGCAACAGATGAGGTGGAAAACAACAGTTTCAGATAAAAGGGCACTTGGAAGTCCTATATATAGTGCCCAGCTCCCACTCTGTATAAGTGGGTTAACAATAGGAAAGGCAACCAACTATAAAACTTGCCTGATGACAACTGGAACACCATGCTATCAGGTAATCACGGTTAACTAAAGCAGGTGTGGAAAACGGCCATTAAACAGTGATGATGATTAAGAAATACCTAAACAGAAATAGACAGCTGACAAACAAATTTATCATTTCAAGCGGTTATACAGAAGGCAATTCCATCTAAGATGTTTGGCTGTACAGTACAGTATAAACAACAAGGAGAGCCGTAGATCAATACAGTACATGAAATGTGCAAAGTGGTCTAACAAGGAAATAGAGTGATGATATAACTAACTTTTCAAGAGTTGGAGGGTGGACAAGAAACTCTGGGCAATCCACAACTCCTTCCAGGAAAAAGTTATAACGGTCTCCAAACAAACTTGATTTTTTGGGCCTGTCTTCAGGAAATTCTATTCGGTAAACTTCATTTCCAAAACTATTCCCAGTAGTGGCCTTCAGCCTGGACCTGAAATTAGAGATGTGCATTATTCGATGATACAATCTCCTTATGTGAATTCTTATTAGTAACGGTAAACATTATAAGTAGATTTAGAAAGGGAATAAAAAGTACTTTTCCATGCTGTAAATTCAACAAACTATTGACTACTTATAAAGTTAAGTGAGATGTAGTGCTACAGTGATACATACCATCCAGTGGTTATATTCAACCATTTTGCATGAAAGCAATACTGTACAATACTTTATTTTTTTTAATGTCAGGCAAATGAAATCAAGGAGTTTTATCACTATCACTATAACCTTCTGACAATGTAAGTCCAGTAGTATATGGTATAAATCACATAAAAGCTGTAATTTGTCAAACAATAAGTTAATAATATAAACAAGACAGAATATGCTACTTACATAATTTCATTTGCATTAGGAATCGTGGCAACAAAGTATCCTCCTTTCTTCAAATTTTCTGATACATTGCAAAGCATAGTTTCTGCTTGATCAAGACTCTCAAAACAATAGTGAAAAGCAAACTGACAAGACACCAGGTCCACCTTCTTGCTTGGGTTCTCAAAAAGTGGCTTTATTCTCCTCTGAAAAATAAATAGGACAATTAAAAGAAAACACAAACACTCCAGAACATCATAATAATGCTTGAGTTTTATATAGTAGTCTCAATTAGCCTTAAAATAACATCACGGCCCGAGAGTGTGAGAGCACAGGTACAAGATATGGCAACAGTGTCGTAGTCAAAGCGTGAAACCATGGATTACCCAGTTTGTCTGTTCTCCGTATTCAGTCTTAATCACTCGGTCATGGTTACACAACACATATTACAGGGTTTGTCTACCTGTTTACCTTCTTTATTGTTTGTATCTTATCACAAACAGGACAATTTCACTGTTTCAAGACCATTCATTTTGCACTGTCTGTAGCACTGCATTGTCACATTTCATACCCAAGCCCTCACTTCCAAGCTGTGGTATGTTCAAGTGGAGGTAACTGTACATAAATTGCACATACAATAAGTCTCAAATATTCAATAAATACTGGTATAAGATACTGCAAAATAAATATCATACAAGGCACACAGTAGTGAATATGTATTCTTGTAAAGATAGCATACTTTTCATACTCACATTTCTACATATATGGGACAAAAAAAAAAAAAACACCACATAGCTCAGCTGGTACTGCTCAAGGCTCCCAAATTATGAAACACAAGTTTTATGTACAGTATTATGAGGCAATGTTATTCCCAACACGAAAGTCATTATGGTCTTTTGTAGGTACAGTTGCCTGCACCTACCAGAATATATATATATATATATATATATATATATATATATATATATATATATATATATATATATATATATATATATATATATATATATATATATATATATATATATATATATATATATATATACCTGGTGCAGTGGCTGGTGTGTTTTGTGAGATGTGGCATCTCTGTGGAATGCTTATCTAGCATCCTTAGTCTAACTGCTACAGTGAGGTCTCTTTGGGCAATTTCAGGAGTTTTTATACAATGTAAACAAACACAGAATTTCCAAATCTCATAAAATACATCAGCCACTGTACCAGGTATAAATAAGTGCAGGGGATTGTACAATGGTCATTTTATCTTGCTAAAGTCAAGAACTAACCTGACTCTTCTTACTTGTACATTGTCATCCTACAAATATAATAAAATTACTGAAATTAATTTATACTGTTCATACATTAAGGAATTCTTACCTTAGTACAATCTGCAACTATGAATTCTGCTGAAAACAAGCCCCCACGACCTTTCCTTTTATTTATTTCATGTCTCTCTTGGCACTGGTCCATAGATGTTTCCGCAATGTCTGCACAAATAAGGTGTTTGATGTTACCCTGAAAAGATTAAAATTGTTCAAGAAAGGGGTATACAACCTTCAAATGAAATGTAGCTACGTATATATATATACTGTATATATATATATATATATATATATATATATATATATATATATATATATATATATATATATATATATATATATATATATATATATATATATATATATATATATATATATAAAATCAGCTAAACCGTATATCTAAAGTCTCTTCCAAAACCTCATTCTACAGTGACAGAACCCATATACTGTACTGTACCTGTACATTACCACCCTGAATGGGCAACCAGATGCTGTACACAGCATCCCTTCCTGCTATTAAGTCCTTTTACAATGTATAAAATAATATTCCATAAAAAAGTACTGTATTGTCATTTAAGATAGAAGAGCTCTATGGTAATAGCCAAAAGTGGGACAGCTTATTAGAATATTATGCCAGAATGTTATTTGTTGAATTGATGCAGCAACAACATATGGTGTGTGTGTGATTTGGTAACAAATTCCCTACACTTATTAATTCATCATACATATAGCAAACCTTTTCATCTTACCTTCTGCCACTTGAGAAGATCACCGCCTTTTCCACAGCCCAAATCTAGTACAGAAATGGGATAGTCATCAACTTGTCGATCTCGAATTTGCTCTAAGCAATAATTTATGAGGTAGCTTTTAATCCAGTTATTAGAGTTTCTCATAAAAAATATACGACTCTTAGTTCTCTCCTTCAACCCTTTGGCTTCAATACTGTTGTAGTGGTTGGCAACTATGGAACCTAAAAATAAACAAGAAAAAATGCATATTTTATATGACTTATGATAGAACAGAAAGTATTGTTATGAAGATAGGAAACATTACTTCTTAATGATAGAATATAGAGTAATGTATCTTTTTGATGATTGAAAATAATTTTAATAAAAGAAATATTTTTTGATGATAGACTGAAAGTAAGGGTGGGTAACATAAATATAACTGACAGCATTGCTAACACTGTACTTGAACATCTTCACTTGGTATCTATTCCACAAACACTGACATATTATTTAAGCATGAAAAACAAAAATATTTAATGTAGTTTTTCATACTGAATACAATGGTGTCTTGAAAGTCTGGGAAAATGCATAAGTATTGAGTTATGACCCACCCTACCCATTCAATCTTGACCCCGGGAACAGTGGGCAGGCTTCAAAAACAGAAGGAAAATGTGGGGTTAAAAACATAACTGAAAAAACTAACCTGTCGTGGAGGAGTATAGGCATGGGCAATCTCCTTGAGGAAGTTGAGTAGTATGGTGGTCCTAGTAAGCTGGTGTTTGTGAAAAAATAGCCCCTTCACTTCTCCAAATATAAAGTTCAGTAGCTACCCATTCATAGTGGGGTGGAGTGTAAGTGCCCTGTGACTGAACAAGCAACCCTTAGGACAGGAGGTGAGGACTGTATCAATGACTGCTACACTCGATAACACAAGAGGATGCACTTTGTGGAAAGAAGGATATCTACTCAGACAAAATTGCATGAACACAACATAATGGTATAAGAATACAACTTTTATAGCTACTTCACTAACAAAAATTAATTGTGTGTCTCTTCCCCAAAGCCAAATGTACTGTACAGTATTAGCAGAAAAGTGCTACGTAATTTATTTTCATCATTTCATTTCAAATATACTGTACAGTTGCCACCATTAAATTTGAGATGCATCATATTAGCCCAAGGCAGCCTCTGGTAACTGCCTCTAATAGTAATGTAAATACAGTAATCTTAGCTTTTTAGTGAATTAACAGGGGCTGTGATTGGTGTACTGAGCAGCTGCTGCACAGTAATATTTACCTGAATTATGTGTCCTTAATGCCAAAGGTTATGAAGGCAATTTCATGTACAGTCGCCAGATGCTACCTTGGACTAACACGATGTGTCTCAAAATTTGTAGAGGCAACTGTCCCATGATTTAGTTTATTGAACTGTCAATCGGAATATATATGATGTACAATCAAAGACAAAAATCATGTCGCGGTTTTGTCCGAAGAATAAATATAACTCGTGAAACATTATGAGAGCCCCCTACCACAAGGCAGAGCGCACCAAAGGTTTAGCCCTTCGGCATATTTTTTCTCCAAATTTCACGACACAACTTTTGTCTTTCATTGTATATTATTTTCTAAATGTTAATTTTATTTTAAAATTATATCCACTTCATTTCTGTTTCCTCCATAAAGTGAACTCATGTAATCTCCCAATTATGTCACTCACCTAAGAGTAGCTCCAGACCATAATCTCCCAAGTGCCAATTAGCTCTCTGACTTACCCAGGGGACAGAGGAGTGGTTGGGGAATGCAATGCAATACATAACACATTTCTGCGGGATATGGTCCGGAGCTCCTCATATTTCCTACACCTTTATAATCTATTGAATCATGACTCAGCACATTTCTTACAATCTACCTCTCCCTTCCTTTTTTATTTATATATATATATATATATATATATATATAGGTATACTGTATTGAATCACTAAATAGGTCAATGAGCATTAAATTTTTGTACATGAATGATGTAACACTTACCAACACCATCACAGTGCCTCTTTCCTGAACGTGATTCTGAGTCAGCCATTCTGAAGACCTGTATGAGAAAAACAAGAATATGGTAGTAGGGTAAATACTAAATACAAAATCACACGTGTTCAGAATATTCCTAAGATACCCCGGACGACCCAAACTAAAATAATACCCTATGAGGCACTATTGCCCATCTATAGTACAGTGTATGCTAGGCAGCTTCAGGCGTAATAATCTCTCTGGGTAGCTGAGGTGCCATAGTGTGGGCACTAGTCTGCTGGCCCTCCTTGCTGCCAGGAGTACACTGGCAATAAGTACTCCTAATACTTTATGTGCTACTCTCGGTAAATGTTTATATTTGTACACCAAAATGTTTGGGTAAAATTTTAGTTTCGGTCATCCCTGTACTTAGATATCCAACCTAACCTAACAAAATGTTAGCTAACTTTACCCAGCCACAGAACCCAGGAACTATAGCTTAGCTAGGGTCTTTGCCCCCAGATGCCTCCCCTCTTTCTGATGGGTGTTAAATTTGCAATTATTACAGTTTCAGCCACAACTCGGTTAGAGCAATTTTGTGTTTACCATTAGTTATATCTTGTCAATAGGAACAACTTTTTCTAATACAACTTCCGTTACATATAGATATTATCCCAGAGAGTAAATTCTCAGAAGAAATTAATGTAAATCTGCAGTTACCGCATGTTGTCTGTTTATTTACAGCCAACCCGTTCAGTCCACGTGTACTCTCATGTCCACAAAAAACATAAAATTACACCATGGCGCTTCAACGAAGTTGCTCTCATTGGTACCAAATATCAAAATACGTATTTTCTGATTAATATACCGGGGATGGCTAAGAAGTTATGTAAGGTTAGGTAGGTTTCTTTAATTGGTTAGGTCAGGTTATATGGGAGGGGGATAAATCCAAAACGACTCATTTCCGACAGTTAGGTCAGACTCGTTCAAAACACATCAAAATCCATCAAAAAACCAAATTTCAACCTAACCTAACTGAACCTAAACTAACCTTAACCTATACTAGCTGAATGACCTTAAAGATAATACCTAAAATAATACCTATGTTTATAATGTATGAAACTTTACTAAATAAATTCCCATCAAAATATTAAGTGACAACTCTTTTTAACTTACTGAAAAATCCCCTTGGAGTATACTCAGTTAAAGGTGGTTGTGTTTCTGTGGTAATGCCTTAGTAGACAGTAAGTATATCTCACAATAAACTATAGTTAATAACAACCATGTCTTAAGGTATAACGCCACGGGTGATCCTCCACACAACAGCGTGTTACTCTACCAGCGGCCACAGTTACTGACATGAACTTTAAATATATTTTTTGAGTATAATATCCTTTTGATCACGTTCAATTATTAAAATTCTTAGTAATCTATTACATTAAAATAGAGCATCAATGTTCTTCTGTGTGTATCTTTATTGCAAAGCTTGTTACGATATTTTAATATTTTAAAATGAACTTCAAATATAAGTGTCTAATAATTTATATCAATATCTCGGAAACATATATCAAGTTTTTAAATATAAAATCAATACATATTTTGGAGTAAATTTATTGCCATGAGTAAAAGTGTCTTAAAGTCAGCCAACTGTGTTATAGGTTATCGTTTCCCAAACGTTACACGTAAACAAAAACAAAAATAAAACAGATATTTCGTCTATTTTTTTTATTAATACACTGAGAAACATCACACCGGGCTAAGAGTAACTTGAAAGTTAGAAATCTTAATAAAACTGAAGAATACTAGTGCGGCTAAACTACAAACGGTATTCTAGGTATGATAACCAGGACACATTTGATACATGTATCTCGTGTGATACTGGTACTACCCTTGGGTCATAGAGTGGGCTATTTTGGGGAGACTATTGGTATATTACTTCTGTACTCTTACATGTAAGATCTAGTATATTTGGCTCTTCAATAGTTTTGAAGATGAAAATTTTGCACCGTCATGAACCGAAAGATTAAATTCTTGCTTAAAAGTGTACAATACAGTACTTCAATTTTCGAGTACCTTTTCCAGAACTCTACTATACTATACAGTATATGGCAGTAATAAGTCCTAGGGATTCTTTATCAAAGCAAATAAAATCTTACTAGTACGTACAATATTCAGGCATGAAACCAAGCTCATGTTTTATTATAATTTCCTGTTAATCATGGCCATAGCCTTTTTTATGTATAGTAATAAACTTCAATTGCCTGAAGACTAGCTGCAAGTTTAAGTCAGCTGATGATCAGACACCTAAACACTACTTGAGGGGTTAGGTTAGATTAGCATTAAAAAGGGGGGGGGGTTAAGCTTCAGGTGATCAAAATAGTCTCACCTTGATTTACTAGGTTACATAAAACAATCAAAATCAATTCACATTCCATTGAACATTATTACGGCATTCCTCTAAAAGTTCAAAATACCACTCAAACAAATACTGTATTCACTTACAACAATCGTGTGAATATGAGGCCGACCCTCATGACTTTAGAGATAAAGTAATGCCAACAAAATTGTACAGCTGGTTTAATATACTGTAGTACTAACGAACCGTTCAGTGGTGAAGAGGATAAAAGTAAAGTACAGCCATTAGGCTAGATGCCGGGACAGCACAGTATACGGTACACGAGTGCAGGAAGATGGACAGTATAAACAACATGATACGTACAGTACTTTAAACTTCATCTGTATGATATTAATTACAAAATGTTTTAAGATTTCTATACATACCAGGTAAAAAAAAAACTTGTTTATCTTTATTTAGATTTTATTCAATACAGTATTTAGAATACCTTAGAATAATTCATATAAATATTATCATGCATAAGTTCATTCAAGGTTCTATTTCTGGATATTACCCACAATAAAGGCTTCAGTTCTTTTTACTAATATTATTCAAAACTGTACAGTACACATAATACATGCAAGATCTTTTTCTGAATACCATCCATTTCACATTGTTTTAGAATTCTTTACATGGGTTCTTTTTATTATTTTAACTCTAATTGAACTTGTGATGTGGATATGTATACTGTATATATAAAAACAAAACAAAAATTAGTACTGTACAGGCATCAAATTACTTGGAGCCAATTAAGATGCCAATTATTTTAACAATTCTATGGCTGAACAATGACCAAACTCTAATACATATCTAGATTTCAAATTTGTATATATTTTCTTATACAAACCACCTCAATTTTAAACATCAAAACAGTATCACGGGAGTTTTAAATTCTAACAGGTGCTGTAATATGATTTTAACTGCATATTTAGTGAATAATAAATCTTTATCTAAATATTCAACAGTTGACACTGAAGAATTTAATAATTTCTAAATATGCTTTCAAGGTTTAGAAATTTTAATGAAAAAAAGAGCTCATATGGTCCTTCCTACATTATTAACAGGCTGGGGCAAATAAAATTATTCAACAAATATAATAAATAAGTACCCAGACTGAATAGGAAAATATATTTATGGTATCATTGTGACAGCACTCAGTGTACAATAAAAATATCTCATGGTGAACTTCACAAAAAAAAAGTTGTCATACTAAATGATACTTAATACAGTACTGCATTATGTTTTACATAATACTTTTGTAACCTTAGCTCTCGTATTTCCTTCCCCCTGGGAGAAGTGTTTTACGCCAGGAATATCTAAGACCTGTTCAGAGGCAGAAAGATGGGAAACAGATGAGAGGGTAATTCATTTAACAATAGTTGTACTGTACATCTCTTTTGTATGAAACTGCAAGTGTAACTCAGAAAGAAAAGCAGAAACAGTTCCTGAAGGATCCAAACACATTAAAAGAATAAATTTCGAGAATATGACCATGTAAATATTCATGAATACAGTAGAGTACACAAGGAAACAATTTGGATGAAAAGATAATAAGATTTTTTACCCTTACTGGAGATGGCAGTAAGGCAATGAGAGTGGTGACTGAAAACTAATAATCAGAATTACAAATATTCATACAGTACAGAGTTGTAAGTACAGTACTGTACGTAAAAAAATTCAAATATCAACCTAGACTTTTGGTTGGAAATGACATCTGGAACAGGAAAATTGGTTCAAGTACATCAAATAAAATAAAATAAAATAAATACAATATTCATTGGTTTAGATATATGAAAAATACAGTAACATAATTAAGTTTGGAAATATTTGACAGTTTTGTTTTCTATTATGTATGTACAGTACAGGTATTTACCTAATATCTATGAGATGTAATGCCTCTGTGAAAGACTAAAAGGGTGTGCATGCTAAACACTTGTGAGAGAGGTAGAGCATATTGAATAAAGTACTGTACTGTAGAGAAGGGATGAACAGAATGAATACAGTACACGTATTATATCAAGCTTGTGAAAGTCCTTCATTTCTGGTTAAATGTCAGCCAGCTGAGAGCATTTTTTACTTTCATACATTTTCAAAATTTGAACATAAGTATCACTTCAACCAAACAGAAATAAATGCTAAATTACTTACATTTCAATCTGAGCATGAACTTGTGGTTTTCCATACAAATGTAAAGTAATACTGATCACTTCTAAATATTTTATATTACAGTACAATTTCTTACTGTATTCTATTTGATGATGTCTGGTATAGAAAATAATGCCTTAGATATTGTCTGAGCTTAAATCTGTACCAACACTGCAGTTTATTCTCTAACATATGCATAGCATTCAAGCATTTTACATAAATTGTAATAAACTATATTCAATTTTCTATTCTTTATGCATCATCATATTAATTCAGCTTCAGCCTACAGTCAGTCAGTTACACAAGCCAAAGTTAAGATAAAACCCTAAACAATAAATCAAACTTATGTCATATGAGACATCATAAATTTGGTCTGGTTAACAAAGAAATTTTCAATACAATTCTATGGCCACATAAGTGTTTTTTTATTACTGAAAAGAGTTTTTGGGAAAAAAAATATTAATAATCTTTTTTGTGGAATTGTTTAAATAAAAGTATTGTTGACTTTGTTTAAGGATAAAATCATTTTTTTTAAATAGTTTATAAGATAGTTTGAAGCAAATTCTGAAGAAAAACTCTTATGAAACAGGTAAAATTGGAAATTGTCTCAAAAGACTTATCAATCAATGGTCAAAAGAAAAATGAAGTATAAAAAATCATTTACCTCCCCTACTATGTCAGAAGACTCACACTGTCATGAGGAAACTAGACAAAATGGCCAGATATGGTCCTGGTGTAAGTGGTCTTCACAATGAAAGTGGATTTTTCAACATCTTTTATTTTCAATTATGAGATTTTTGGCTTCATGATTATAATATTCTGAGTGAAATTTCCTCCACAATCTTGAGATGAACATATACTAAATTGTGTGTTTTTTGCTTAGATCAAATAACAATTTCAAACATCATGACATCAACTAAATTATGCCTTTAGTTCACAAATCAACATACTGTACAGTTTTAGTCTGCTTTGTGGTAAATATTGAATTATTGTATATTCTTCACATGACTCATAAGAGCTTTGTCAACTACAAATAGTTAAATATTTTTTTCTTATTCATTATTAGTTTAGTACACTTTCAACAGGAATATTTTTCATAAGAAGCAAAGGTATGTTTTAAATTTCAAAGCATTATCACAATGAACCTCAATGCTAGACTAACATAAATGCATGTGATAATGAAGATACAGTACATGTACAGCAGTATATGTACTAAATAACAGTGACAGCATACCATTGGTATTTTCAAGTAGTCAAGTGCACCTGTGACTTAAACCCACATTTATCTACTTTATGCTGTCATTATGCCCCATCAGTAAATATTGTAAGTTCAGCTACTGATATGTTCTAGACTATGGGTGGTTAAATTTCCACTCATATATAAAATAACTGTTACACAGTAAGGATGCATTACATGCGATTATTGCTTCATTTATTTTCAAATTTCATAATATTAATATATATATATATATATATATCTCTTGATAAAATCACACGGGAAAAGGGAAACAACGGAGCACCTTAGCTTTCGTCTTTATTCAAGACATCCTCTGAAGATGTCTTGAATAAAGACGAAAGCTAAGGTGCTCCGTTGTTTCCCTTTTCCCGTGTGATTTTATAAAGATTTATCTTATCCACGTTTTCATTGTGGATATATACATATACTGTATATATATATATAATATATATATATATATATATATATATATATATATATATATATATATATATATATATATATATATATATATATATATATATATATATATATACTTGTATATATATATATACAGTATAAACATGTTAATTAATGACTAGCCTTAGCCAATATAATGAGACATACAGTGATTCTGTATGATGATATACAGTATTGGCGAAAGATCACATCACTGAGGTGAGAGACCTCAAACTAATATTAAACTATTAAGTGAAAACCAATATGTAATTCATCATGCTTAGGGGTTGTCAACATTTACTATGTGAAGAATGCAGGCTGGTGCTCTTGGAACTAATATTACTACCGTGAAATGAAACATTCATATCAGTTGAAGCAAAACCTTTGATAAAATGTTTAAATACTGTAACAGTGCACATTTAAAGCCTAACAATACTATGACAACAATGTCTTTGACATTCAGCATATAATAAATGGCATTATATCCATAACATTCAAAATTCATAATTATTTAAAAAAAATAAATAAAGTATAAAACTGTCTACATAAAAATTATTAAATACATAAAAGCCTGAACTGTCTAGATTTAGACTACCATTAAAGAACAAAGTTTAGTACAATATCTTGAGCAGCAAGGATGGCGATTTCTATTTCTCTAAGGTAAATGTGGTTGTGGTTAAAGCCTTTAACTAAGCTACACATTTGAACTAACTTAAATATACAGTAATACAAATTTTCCAAACTTACAGAGATTGATCTTTGCCTAATATTCAAACACTGTTGATGAGTCAATTTAAATGTACAGTGACCATGGCATTTATAGGATATTTAGCTAAGAACAATCTGCTCTACATGCAGGAAATGACATGTACAGTTGCCAGCAAGGTTATCCCACAGCCCTGTGTAGCAAGTTGTGGGAGGACTTTTGCTGGCAACTGTACATAAAGATATAATCTAATTATGTGTGTCCATATGTTATCTGTCCTCCAATGAACATCAGTGTATATTGAAAATTCTAATTTTAACAAGAAAAATGATATGGGCTGTTCAGTAGACATTTGACATTTTGTATTATAATACAAAACATCATGTATCTACTTCATTTTAAAACACTATAGTCCCTTGAACTGGAAGGGATTTACTTCAGGACTATAACAATGTAACTATTTTTCTGTATAAATTAAAGATTTTCTTTGTTACAAGTCTATTGGTGTAGGGCAAGTTCCTCATCCTTTACTAGGTTTTCTTCAATAAAACTGTTCAAGAATAATTTATAATTTTTAACTTTGTTTCCCTAATACTACCACAGTATTTTGTCAAGAATTCCTAACAGTATGCTCATCAAACTCTATCTTGTTTAAAATATATTAAATTTCTCTGTACTATATTTACTTAGTTATACTGTACTATATTAAAAATATTGCTAGTCTTATTCTTCACTTCATGTTTCAGGGATAATAGGATCATCCAGCAGAATTGAGAACTTCTGAGGGCACCAGCTGCCGTGCTAGCCAGTCTAGACCCTGGTGTAAACCAGTTCCTGACTGGGCATCACAAGGCTGGATGTGCCATGACCGCCCAAGACACAGTTTGTGAACTCCTAAGCTGTCAGTAAGGGCTGCCATTCCCAGTGCTTGCTCACAATTCTGCCAAAGCAAAGAAAAAAAAGTCAAATTAGTTATTTACATAGCTCAATTGTTAGTGTGCTTGACCTTCAACACATGAGACACAGGTTCCATTCCATGACCACACAAGGTTAATAGAGCATTATTCTAAGGTGGTGTGTACTGAACTAGCTATCAGGGCTGCACTAGCCTTTCTCATGGGGATGACAACCTACATATAAAGGGAAATTTATATAAATCATATTTGCCTTTTCACTTACCAGTGCATAATTCAGAAAAAAATTATGCATTTAATACAACCAGGAGATTTAAGGAGAATTTCTTTCAGTTTTCAAAGAATTTGAAAGATAAACTAAAACCAAACTTTGGAATGCTTGCATTTTTTTTTTTGCAACCAAATAACTTTTTTCACTATAAGCCAATGCTCCCTCTATTTTTTTACATCACAAAGCAGAATGAATCTTGTAAAGAGCTCCAATATCAAGATAATGTGTGAATTTGCACCACCAACAGAAACAAAAGAGTTATATTGTATCATTAAAGCAACAATTGGTATGTAAGAATAGTTAAACACAAGGTACTTAAAAAAAGTGCATTGCTTATGATATTCATTTAATATGAAAGACAGATTTCACTATCCTGATGATATGCATGGCTGAAAAAATTAAGGGTGCTGCAATTGACTGACTGTTACACAGGTTCATAACTTGGAGAGAACTTTGCTGAAGGGTGGATTACCTTAGCCATATTTCCCATCATTCACTTTCTCTACTACTTCTCGAGTGTCCATCCCCTTCACTTGTAGTACACCAAACCCCTGCTAAACAAGACTTCATATAATTTGATATTTGGATGAGCCAGAACCTATCTACATCTACTACCATCACTACATCTGGGTAAAACACATAAACTTGCCTCTTTATTTGCAAAAATGAGAAGTGAAGCATCCTTCAGTTCTCGTTCCGTCATAAGCTTAGTTAGTTCTGACTGAGCCTCTGGAAGTCTGTCAACATCTGTCGCATCCACAACAAAGATAACAGCTTGGGTGTTGAAGTAATAGTGTCGCCAGAGAGGCCGCAGCTTTGGCTGACCCCCTACATCCCATACTGTAAACTGTTGAACATAAAAGAAAGATGAGTGAATGCATCCAAGTTTACACATGACATAGTACACAAAAACTATATTTTTTTATTTTTGGGAAAGTGGAAAAAAATGAAGATCCCCTTGAAATTAATAACAATTATGGTAACATGAGAGATGTGGTAAATATAAGATTTAACAAGTTATTCATATGTAATATTATCTATCCTTTAACAAATACAGTACTGTACTTTTCCACCCCCCAAAATTTCCACATAACTCCCTGCATCTTACATCTCCTAGGTTAAACCTACAGGGATGAGGCTACATCAGTTTAAAGCATACAGTAAAAGTTAAAGTCATTTACATTTATACTTTTTTCCTCAACATTTAACAATGAAACTACTAAGTGTACAAGTTAATATTTTTATAAACTGCCCAAAGGATCAAAGAATGGCAGTTACCTACCTTAAAGTTTTTGTACTCAATGGTTTCCACATTGAAACCAATGGTGGGTATTGTTGAGACAAACTCATCCTGCTTTAGTTTAAAGAGAATGGATGTCTTGCCTGCACCATCAAGACCAAGAGTTACCACACGCATTTCTATTCTGGCTCCAATGTGAATACGATTATCCTGAAAAATATATCATAACATAAGCACAACTCCCAGGGCAATAGTAGGCTCTGCTTGAGGGCACTCAGCATTGGTGCATTCTGAAAGTCCCTTGAGAGGCCTCACATGTCATAAATAGTTGTAGCAATAATTAGAGAAGTACCAATGTACAGGTATCAATGATATCTGCCTGTTTTTGGAGTATCAGTACTGGTAGAATTTCAGCCAATCCCACACTCATCTAAAATAAATAATAATAGGGAAATGTTGGTATATAATTCCAACATTTAAGGGTTTTGTTGAATGCTTTTGAAACTGATAGTTAAATGCATTTTACAAATATTTAATAAATTAAATTACTATACTGTACATATTATTGTTACTGAATATACCGAGGATACTTATATTGCATCAAATTAAATGTTTTATTATTATAGAGTTTATGTATAATATGAAATAGCATACTGGTAGTGTGTATCTATCAATATTATTGCAATTGTGCAGTACTCTGAGATTTTTATCTTTGGTTAACCCCAAAAAGTATGTTTCCTGAAAATTTTTGATATTTGAAAAACTAATGCCACATTCTAAATATGTAGGCAGCTGGAATCAAAGCTGGTTTATTAATACAGTACTGTATTATTACTGACATCAACAACACCAACAATAAATACACAAGTCTAACCTTTGTAAAGGTTATAGGTATAGCTGGATCTGGGACTAGTGACGCTAACTGAGCCAACTGCTGTTCCTGAGAAGTGACATGAGCCAGTCGAGCAGACAGATCCTGTGAGGCCATGATCAACCGACCATCATCTTGCTGAATAGCACGTTCTCCATCAACCACCACAGCTACCATCTGTCAGAAATTAATACCTTTAGAGATGGAGTTGTTTTGGCCTAATCCAAAACAAGTCTTGGTGGAACTATGGTTAGTATAATGTAGCCTTACTTTATCAAATACTGTACTGTACCTGTATTGGCTACCTTTTATTTATAAGTAAACAAGCTTCACTTTGGCTAAACTCCACAATAAAACCCATGGGGAGGAAGGAGGGTTGTAAGTCTCCTTGCTTCAATTCTGTTTCAAATGGATTTCAAGGATCTATCCTTCATTAATTCCTCTATCATCTCAGAGTCAAGGCATTGTCTTGGGTTAGTAAATGCTTCTTTATCCTTTAGAGTACCATCCTTGCCAGAGAAACAACAAAACAAATGCCAACACAACCAAAACATACTTGAGATAAGAGTGTGGTCATGTCCTCTTGTTGTTGACGTATGGAGCATAACCTTTCACGAATGTGTGCATCCAGTACTGTCATGGCCTGTGTTTCTTGACGATTAAGTTGATCTCTCAGTTGAGCAAAGTACTGTTTCACACGTGCTCGTGCTTCCTCGGCAGTTCCACCAGTATCAATTTCAGCTGGCCCAGTGTCATTTTGAGATCCTTCCAGCTGTCGAGCCACACTCTCTAGAGTATACAACCAAAATGTATAATAACTAAGATGAACTTTAAAAATAAATAAATAAAATTTAGAATCATAGCAAAAAAAAAATGTTTGTTTAGTCAATATAACATCAAAAGGCTGCATTAATAAATAAATAGGAAAGATTTCAACCCAATGTAATGCTACCAGTACATATTAGACTCAAGAATCAACCCTCTCACTAGACCTGTTATGAAATGGCATTGTCAGAGCTCTTACACTGAGATCCTTCAGTTGTACTGAAACACTGAATCTAAAATCTTCAAGGGGACCATTGGACACTGATTCATTATGTCAAAAAGCCAAACTCCAGATCTGTAGTAGATTTTAAATTGCTAATTTCCCCACAATGACCTACATGTACATATTTGAGAAATAAGTCTAAGCCCTAAAAATTGATAAGGGAGCAACACAAAATAAAATTTGGTATGCATATGGTGGCCACAGCAATCTCAAGATCAAGGTCGGCACAGATAGGTGTTAGCCAGCTATAAGCCAACACATCATAGGTAATCACAGGTAAAGACAATGATAATATTAAGTGTGTAAGGTAGATGAGAACATGGAACAGCAGAGACTGTGACTTAAGCTAACTTCCATCTTTTAGAGGAAGATTATATATTGGATTCCTCACTTACTAGTTCCTTTGTGTGCATTCTAGACCAACCAACCTCCTTTATGAACATTCTTTATACATCGGTAATATTACTGAGAAAAAAAACAGGACATGCACACACACACTAAAGTTACAGGTTTTTATTTTACTCACCTAACTTATGAGCTGAATCAGTAAGTTCTTGAGCTACTCTTTTTATATGCTGAATAGCTGTGTTGATGGTGGAACGGATCCTCTCAGCTTCTTGTTCCAACAATATGTGCTGAAACACAAACTGGTATCTTAAAAAGCAGGGTTTATGGGTAAGGATAAATTAGCAACAGTCTTTTTCTTATACTAATGTATATCATAATAATAGTTGTTATTTATTCTATAAGCTCATTTATTTTTTTCTATTTCCAGCACTGAGAAGGAATACAACTAAGTTAACAAACATCTGCTTGTAGATTACATTACTGTATTATATCATGAAGAAAGTAAAACAAATTATATACTGTATAAAACTCCTTTTTTATTCCCACATAGATACATACAAACATAAACACACAAGCCCATATAGCAGAAACTGGCTGGATCACAAGAGTATATTCCTGCACCCCACATTATACAGTCAAACATACTTCAAATTCTCCAAGTCCACAGGAGAAAGTGGTTCAACACTAGTATAATTTATTCCAATAATTTTTGTAAAGACTCTACTATTACTGCTGTTCTAGCCTGTAACCAGAGTAATACTGTGTACAGTATTCTAACTAAACAATGTTCATCTCCTACCTACAGCACTAGAAACTGTTAATAAACTGTAGATGCTGTGCTGTCAGCTCTAATCACTGTGCTGAGGCATAGCACTTGGCAGTCACACACAATGAGTTCTCAGGGTTAATATCATGGCATTTCTAAAAGCAAACTGTATGGGTATTTTGGTATTTCCTGTAATTAGGCAGGAAAAAAATTTAAAACACAACTCAATAGTATACTGTACCTTGTGTTTTGTATGCTTGTAATCTTTGCATATGAAACACATCAGAGGGGCTGCGTGACACCCTTCCTCTAGGCATACAAACTCCACTGGATGAAAGGAATGATCAGCACACCTTGGTTTTTCACGAGGTTTTTCTGAAAAAATTAATAATAATAATAATAGTAGATGGGGTGGAGTTTATTGTCCATGTACAGTACAATATATTTACTTGAAAACATTTTGGTGAAATTTGTTGTTTATGTCCTTTTCCTTCAATTATGGAGCTGAGACTCGAAGAAAAAAATAATCTTTTATTAGCTTCCCATGTACAGTAGTTGTCAAGCAAATTGAGCTCCCCATGGGCCATTGAGTTGTAATTACCTCCCTGCTGGCTATAAACTTCCTTGTAATAAATTAGCTAGTCATCTATGGTTAGGGTTAAGCAGGATAGGGAGACAATATGCCTCTTAGTCCTGGAGTTACAACTAAACTCTCAATGGATTTCTTCCTCATACTTCTCCATCAACTTTGGGGTTGTTGGAGGTGCAGAGCAGAACCTTTCTAACAAGGACTTCTTGGAGGAAAAAAAGATTTAAATACTGTACAGTAATGTGATTTTCCAAGAAATCCAAGTTAATTTCACCAAGGTACAAAATAGTCCTGTTTTCTTAATCAGTAACAGCCTTGAAACCTAAGGGTAAGTTTTATAAAAATGTTGTTCTCCTCTGGAGTAATCTTTTGTTTGCTTTTACATTATGCAGCAATTACTTGAATAACCAATAGTACGGTATTGGGTTTATTGCCTAGTTAGATAGCTGCATATGTTCAGTATTACAATGACAAGAATTCTTCAGCTGTACTGTACAGTACAGTACAGTACTGTGCTGTGCAATGTAAGTCAGAGACATGAAAGTTGTAAGCTACCTAGATTTACAGGGCTCTCAAAATGAACTGAAGCTGAAGGCTTCTTCTAAAATGTTAGCTGGAAACATCAATGCAAATTGCAGACACAACCAGAAAGTTGGAGGCCAGAGATTTATCATGAAAGTACAGCCCAATGATGTAAACAGTTAATACAGTTTAAATATTTGTTGTAGATCTACAGGAAATTTCAATTCTTTTGCAAAGGGAACATTGCCAAGGATGTACAGTATGTACACAGCAAATAGGCAAGAACAAACAGTGATATCAAGGGGCTTCTATGCATTTTGAGAATCTTGGTTATAGCTTTACAAGTTCCCCAGTGAACATATATTCTTACCAAATGATTTAGATGAACAATGGTTACAGTATCAATACTCTATCATAAGCAGAAACTAATTAATCATCCTATATACAGTACAACTTTGCAATTGGATATGCCAAACAATTTATGATCTCTATTACCAATAAAGAAAAAGGCTGGAAAATTGCAGAACATAAAATCTTATTTCCTCAACTAACCAGATAACGGGATGCGTTTATGTTTGTGGAGTGTTCTGGTGGCGTGGGTCCGTTCGGAGCACTCTAAGCATAGGTGGGATGCACACACAGTACAATAGAGGACAGCTAAATGTTCTTCATCCTCATCACAAGATATACCCAGCTGTAGAAAACATTTAATGACTAATGAGGCATTTATATATATAAAAAAAAAACAAGACAAACTCATACAGGCAGTCTCCAAGTTACAACTGTCCGACTTACGATCCTCCACACATACAAACAGTATCCCAATACATTCTTTGCAAAAATATGTAATCAAATTTTTTTTTTACAATATTCTTTATTGTCCTATTAGAAAACATAAAACTATTTCACAGTAGTTTCTCACCAAACAGAACCCAGTATAGAGTATCAAATCCATAAGATACATTAATCATCTTTATAACATTTTCATGGGTAAATAAGAATATCTCACCTCACAGTTCCTGCCAACTCTTAAAATTACGTCACCTATCACTTAATAGCTACTCTTCAGTCCTCACCTGGTACATGTGGGATGACGGAGGTCAAAAGTCATATGAACTTACTTGACAGATTTCAACTAAGATACACAAGCCTCAAAAAACAACAACAGAGGCTTAATTGGTGCAATGGTAGGGTTAAAAGCTACATCTGTTTCTTGGTAAGCAGCTATGCTCACCACTAAAACCTCATTGCTGAGCATTTCTTAGTGCAAAACAGTCCATTCTGAACTAAAGTACTTAGGATAACGAGCCTTAAATAGGAACTAATGGTTATCTTTCTGCTAAATATTTTTGATAAGACATTCAACCTAAATATATGGCCAAAGTAAGCAAAGCCTCTAATAAGATGAATTTCAGTCGTGAAGTTCGGAAGATTGATACTGATTAATTCATCCATAAATTGAGATACAGGTAGCTAGCTACCTAACAGCAGGAAAATATAATGATAATGAGCTCCCTTAAGATGATAAGTAAAATGTGGGAGTGCTGTTCTCAATGCAGAACATAAAATATGTGGGTGTGAGTTATGGATCTTATTCCTCAAAAAATTTTAAGACTGTTTTAGCGAATCAATTTAAAGATGATCAAAGAACTTAACCATAAAGCCAGGCATTGTCTAAAGCCGACACTTAATTAGGTGAAGTTTCATCAAATATCTGTACTGCACGGACATAAATGTTCTGAAAAGTGAATGATAAACATAATACAGTACAGTACTTTATGTTCTTTTTTGTAATACCTGTAGCTATAGACATAAAATAATTGAAACGGTACTTTCTGAAGAAGAAAGAAAATATATATGTTATGAGTTCTCAACCATGTTATTAACAAAAATTGCCTAAGCAAAAAAAGGCATCAATACTTCAGTAAACACCTACCTCTCGTTGTTTTATGAGGACCTCTGGAAGGAGAACGGCATCAGAGCGGGACAGTGACAGTCTTTCCAGCAGTTCCAGGAGTGCAAAATTTTTCTTTAGACCCCATACACCTGATGCACCTGCCAGACCAACAAGACAGATTCTATATACTGTACTGTACTGTGTAATATTTCATGTGCAGCATTTTCAAATGAGATGAGCAAACAATTAAGAGCATAAGTAAAAATAAGCTTAAAATAAAAGAACAGTAAATTAGGAAACTTAAGTTAAACCTTTAAAGTTTAATTCATGTTTCCTTATGAATTCAACAAAATTAATGACTGAAGAATAAAATCCATTTTTATAACAAAGGGTGAGTACTTTGTGTTATGCTAACACTTCAAATTGGCCAAGTGTCAAAGAACACACTTACTCAGCAGAAGAATATATTATTCATGTAAAAACTGCAGGTGTTTCAAAACAGGTCTTCATTCAGTCAATGTACTTTTATCCAGCAGTGTGTTAGTTACCTATGTGGCTAGTGAAGCAGTTAATAATTAGTTAAACTCTTGTTGTCCTAGCTGAGCCAGAGTCCAACCCTTAAGAGAAAGGAAGTACAGTACAGTATGGTATTGCAGTTCACTTAGCTGTCAGCCATAAGATGGGATTTTACTCCTCAATCATTTAATTATGGCCTATGATCATTCTTTGAGTAACCTGTGAGATCTAGAATCATCTACAAAATGAGATATTAAATATACTCTAATTAAGAAACTTTGAGAATATGCACTGCTATACTGTATAAAAACTTATGAACCTCAGTTACTTCCTAGAGCCAGGAGTCTGAGGTATAAATGAATACCTGTACTGTGATGATAAGAAGAGGCCAGAGGTTTTGAAAAGAGTCATGACACCATTGGGTATAGTATTCAATGAGTAGGGATCTCACTCACTGAAGAACTTTAAATCATACATTATCCTAAGAACTGTTTTTCTCTCCTCAAAATACTTAACAGAAGCACATACCTATTGGTGTAGGCTGTCTATCGAATGGGCAATGAATATTGTTGTCATGTGTAGGGAGCCGAAGCAGACAGGCGTGGCAGAGTGTGTGGCCACAGAACAGAAGGCGAGGCACTTTATCACCTCCTAAGCTGAACCCATCTTCACACACACGACATTCTAACTGTTGAATAAAATAGGGTACGTTAACAAATGGAAACAGTTGGTGCAACTAACACTTCAATACTTTTGCAAAAAAAGTTGACAAACAAGTTATACTTTATTCTTTTTCTACAACTATTATACTCTACCCCAAAAATAGACCTTTTTTAGTAACACCAATACAGTATTTTGGTAAACAAAGACAATGAGCCCCATTCTACATTAAGTGTAAAACATCAATTTAACTGAAGAACCCACGTATCAATGGGTGTCTTTGGTGCCACAGGAATTTGTTTTGTGTACAGTAATTTCATTTCTACGATTTTTTACATTTCCTGTCCCTGGAGGAACTGTCTCTGTTCACCATGTATACAGCGGTCCGACTAATTACCCAAATGTACCCAAATGTAGCAAAATATAGCTGGAATGAAGTCAAATAATGGTCCTACATGAATAAATCGGACTGCCAATCATTTCTCGACTAGTGTTTGGTGTCACAAAGTCACAAAAAATTGGAAAACTTACTTTAATCCGAGTTAATACATCACGCGCATGTACCGAGGCAGCGAGGAATTACCCAAATGTAGCCGCAATGAAGTCAAATGATGGTCGTACAAACGTAATTCGGGCTGTGAATCACTTCTCGATTATTATTTGGTGTCATAAAGTCACAAAAAATTGGTAAACTTAATTTAATCTGAGTTGTGTTAGGTTAGGTTAGGTTAGATTAGGTTAGGTTAGGTACATGCACTTGATCAATTAACTCAGATTAAATTAAGTTTACCAATTTTTTTTTACTTCGTGACACCAAATACTAGTCGAGGTGAGGTTAGATTAGGTTAGGTACATGCACTTGATCTATTAACTCAGATTAAATTAAGTTTTCCAATTTTTTGTGACTTTCTGACACCAAATACTAGTCGAGAAATGATTGGCAGTCCGATTTATTCATGTAGGACCATTATTTGACTTCATTCCGGCTATATTTGGGTACATTTGGGTAATTAGTCGGACCCTGTATACAGGCACTTCCTGCAACTAAATATTGATTAATTTCAGATTTTCTTTTAGATACAGATAAATTCTATAATTTATTGTTTATAAAAGGAAGAAAACTAAGTGCTACTATACTGTGTGATCTTCAAAAATACCTTTAGTCTAGTCTAGTCTAACCTAACCTAACCTTACCTGACCTAACCTAACTTGAACCAACCTAACCTAAATATCTTGTAGATTGCACGTTATAGCAGCATCAAAAACTAACCTATCAAACCAAAAATAATCAACACTAAATCCTATTTTACTCTCCTAAAATGAAATAAAAAAAAATCTAGAAAAACAACCATTCCTAGAACCTAAACATAGTGTATGGCAAGGTCACGTTGGCTTTTATCTTCAATGTAGAAATTTCCTCAAGTTGGTGCTAAGGCTGGACCCCTCTTGCCAAGTATTACGGCAACAAAATACAATAAACCCCCAACATAATATGTAAGATTGATACATACAATACCAAGCACATAATATGTAAGACTGTTACATATAATACCAAGCACAAGTTTGTATGATTAAATTACAACAAGTATTTGGTACAACTTAAGCTTACGAAAACATACAAATGAATTTATGCCCTCACTGTAACTTATACGTTCTTAACGTAAAAATACCACACAGTTAAAAGAAGTTATGAGAATACCAAGACAATGGAGGACACAATAACGTTCACTGTAGCGTAAAATATGACCTATTAGACTCACATTATTGCCACTTTTATTTACTGAAGTCTGTGGTGTATTAAAGGTGTGAAAAGACTGTGATCTAGCCAAGGCAGCTGACATTAGTGCCTCATTAGCCATTTCTACCTCCCGACGGACTCCGTTGCTGCCTGCCACAGTACCACTCTGTCTTTAACTATGCGCAGACAACACAAACCGTACTTCACTATTGGCTAGGTACACCCGTCTTGATATTTTTACTTGTGATACATATATACAAAAATAGGTAATATATATGAATCTAAATATAAAATGAAATTATTTAACAAATTTGGCGAGGTTTCATTGATTCTGGTTAATTTAAGCTATTGTAACATTAGTCTTGTACCTTTCCTCCAAGGAAAGTAGTGGCCTTCCCACCCAAATAAACAGTGTTGCCAACTCATCTTAATTAATGTAGCAAGATTCACCTCTAAATGTAGATAAAATCGCTAGATATGGTGAATAAAATGCTATAAGAAGTAGCCAACAAGAAAACTGACAATATTCACACGTTAACTTACATACGGTAATGCATATCATAAATAATTCATTAATATTAGAAGTGAGCTTAAGAATTGATAAATAAAATGATAAACGAATGTTCGCATTCACGTATATAAACACTCATTGCTAGCGCTGCCCTTTTTAAATATATTTTGCCTAAAGGTAAATGTTTTATTTGGCTTATGGAACCCCTTAGCTATTAAGTATACAATCATATATATCATAAGATCAATAGATACAGTCATTAACAGTAATCCATAACAGAAATCCGGAAAACTATGAGGGCAAACTTTTCCCGGGTGAGAATTGTAAACTTTCCAAACAGAGTGTTGTTAGGGCACCGAGTGGGGGCTCCTTCAAGAACGCTGGAGGAGGTACAGATACATTCAGGATCAGGAGCCAGTGCATGCCCAGTACTTGCCAACAGTGAGTAACAGAGACGTGACCGACCGACCGATCAGTGACGAGGAGGGTAAGTACAGTACTGGCCATCACCCTTCTTTAATATATGACTCTCTAATGATAATTTCCAGCCACTAGGGATCATTGGGGTCATCCCAGCATCTGTACAATGACATTGTAAAGGGTTTGAGAGCTAACTGCACTAACTGTCAAAGGAATTTATCTGAAGGCCAATTTTCTTGTAATTTTCACTTGGTAATTTCTGAAATCAGGACTTAAAATCCCGTAGACTTTAAAAAATGTTTTCAAAGAAAACGATGACTGGTAGATGGGAGACATTTCTAATGGACTGCTAGATTTCAAAGGTAAGTTACAATTACAAATACATCCGTTTTTTCTAAAGTTCCAGTTGCAATATATTCACATAAAAACGTTGTTATATTTAAATTACACTCACTCCAATTAAAATTAAAATTTGTGTCGGCGTAAATTGGTATGCCCAAAATTTTATTATATTTTCCAGAACTACGATCCCTAAGCGTTCCATGACTGTGATGAGAATACCGAGAACAGAGTCGTCTGTAACGTAGGTACCAAGTCAGTATTCTTCTCAAAGAAATCACTAAGAATTTATTAGAAACATTCCTGAGGTTTCATATGAACAAAAAAACGTAATTAAAGATACACAGCTGAAGACTATAAAAGTGCAACACATCTGGATCATACTGTGAACATCTTTGCTTGTCTCCGTCCCTAAAAATTAGAGCTATCCAGTTTGTTTAAAATTTTGAAGAATAATATCAAGGAGTGTCTTTTCATTGTGAGGGATGCTATAGCGATCGTTGTGTACTGTATATGCAGTCATAAGTTTCTATAGAATTACCTCATTTACCAATTCTCCAGATGTTCATGCCACTAGTACAGATGTCTGAGGGTTAGTGATTATAGTCATCCACTCTAAATGCTATAAAGTTCTTTTTAACAATGTTCCCAGATTTACTTAGCTCTAAAAGACCCAGATATTATTTTTACACACCCAACCAGTCTCTGCTTTTACATGGGCCTTTTTCTTTCTTAATATGACCAAAGTATCTTATTTTCCGTATATTATAAACTTCAAGTAGGTATAGGAACACGAAAAACCTAGGTATTCAGTAATCGTCTTTATTACAAAACAATTATAAAAATCATCAAACATATTTCCGAGATAGTTTACTGGTTGCATCAATTTAGTCAGACTCCTCCAGTAAAATTCCCGGTTGGATAGGTTTTGTTTTATATTGCATACAGGTTAGATAAGGTCAATTTAGGTTCACAGTGAAGTTTAATGCAATTTTCATAAATCGTAGCTGAATAAACTAACCTAACCTATATACACCACACAGATAACAGATTTCCTGTATATTATCTTGGGGACACAAAAACAATTGACTAAAATACAAATTAACTTAGATTTCTTAAGTATGATAATCTGTATGTGACACAAACATAAAAACATAATTTATATGTATAATTTTGTTTGTTATTCGAATTAATTATTAAAAAGAAATCTGATGAATCGCCCTGTGTTGGTCTCAAGCTTAGCCTAGTATGAACTGGTCTACGTAGTCGTGTACAGACAACAGATGCTAATTATTGGACCGAGGGCGTCCGAGCAGCTGATTTGCTAACCATTCAGAGACAAGTTACAGGAACTTATGGCGCACGAGGTAGATATTAAAATTGTGGTGGAAACTTACTTCTCGCACTTCTTAATGATTTAGCTGCTGTACGTTTCTGAATGGTTAGTAAATCAGCCAATTAGATGCCCTCATATTCGCCATGGATGTTTATTATTTCTGTATATAACAACAGGAGAACAGTTCACCTCTACCGTACTGTTTACTGGCCTCTTTAGTAATTTCTTCTATCATGATGAATTATTTGTGTGACTGAGAAAAGTTAAATTCAAAGTCAGCTATGGAACCTCACCATGAAGTTAACTTTATTTGTTATTGTGAAATCAAAATGTTATGACTACATGTAACACTTGAAGACGGGAGAAGATAGTCTTTATGGCACAAGAAAATTATCTGTTTTTGTTTTCAAGATGCTGATAAATAATTTTTCAATGTATTGTCTACCCAAGAAATCATTATATATATATATATATATATATATATATATATATATATATATATATATATATATATATATATATATATATATATATATATATATATATATATAAATAACCTGTCACTTGCTACCAGTCATATAATTTTGTCATGGATATTGCTTCGGGTCCATGCTGTAGGGTAACTGGTTGACAACTTATGTTATCTTGTCAGTGATTTGGATGAGAACTCGTGAAGCATGATCGTGATTGGATAAGACCGGACAATAGTGTTATCTGACATTCTTAAATGAATCAGAGAACCAAGATAAACTAGGTTAGATAATGTAATTAAATCCAATCTAATTTATCTTCAATAATGTCGTTCGCTGCAACAGTTTATAACGATGGACCAGGATGGATGGATGAGACCAGCTTGTTGTTTACCCTCTTTTCTGTCCCGCCACCCAGGCCTTGGGACCTGTTGAGGAAACGTAGGGTTAGGTAAACATTGTATTGATTAAATTAAGCATTAATTTACTCACTAACTACAGCGGTCAGTAACAGCACATTGAACACACATCGAAGACTGTTGGTTTATATTCAGTATCACTTTCAGAAGACACCGGAAAGAGGTTGGAGGTCTTTAAAATGTGGAGTTATAGGCAAATGCTAAGATAAGTTACACTGACAGGAAAACAGGTGAAGAAGTACTAATATCAACAAAAACTTCAAGAAAAATACTTGAAATGTACAGCAAAAGAAAAATTAGATACTATGGTCGTATAATTAAGAATGAGGGGATTATAAACATGTTTAATGAATAAAGTTGAGGGTAGGAGGGCCAGAGGAAGGCAGACTATGGGATGAATGAATGAAGTTAAAACCTGAGTCCACAGAGAGATACAAAACCTCGGAGGATTGGTAAAAACAGTTCGAGAACGTTTAGAGTGGAGGACTGTGGTCGCCAACCCTCATATATGAAGACGGCACTGCATTCTCTCACTACGTCTTGCAGTTGGTGTTGGGGGGGGAAGTTTAGTTTATGTCCTGTATTCAAACGCTCTTGTTGCTACTCTACCGCCTGTCATCCATAGACTTTTCCAAACTCCCAAGGATGATTATTTGTCGTATCTTGTAGCCAGGGGTGAGATGTGCAGGTGTAGATCTAACAGCCAGTGCCCAATACTTACCTCATGACTAGTACCGTGAGCGGGGTGTAGGTGTGGGCACTACCTTCGCAAGTACCCCTCGACAGGCTTGAAGATGGTGTACTTGTAGAGCCTGGGACCACCGTAGCCGTACAGAAGCTCCCCATTACCCTCGTGGTCGTAGAAGGGGTAGCGGTAGCGGGGCCTGTAGATACGGATTACATTGTAAAGCCCAACTATAAAACAAACAAACAAACCGACAAATAAAACAAAAACCCGATTTGCATTAAATCCTTTTTTTTTCTTCAGATTTCCTCTTTTGTTTAAGTTTGATTTTACTTAAAGTGCAATTAACTATTAAATATATTCAAGATGATAAAAGCCTTTACACCCCTTGTATTTATTTTATCAAACACATCTTTACAGAGCTGAATGGATAGGGGTTACATAATACACGTTAAATTATAAAGGTTGACATAGGTTAGGTTAAAATCCACACAAAAACACGGATATTCTTTGGAAAATTACTGCATTTGGTTTGAAAGGCGATATTTACAACAGCTTCATAACATCATTTGCCCCCCCCCCCTCTCCCAGCCTCACCTCTGATAGTAGGGGTAGATAAGCTCATACACCTTGCGTAGTTTGGGGTCGGGGACATGGGCAGGACGCTTGCCATAGGTGAAGGAGGGTGGAGGACTGTAGCCATCGTCTGGACCGCCGTAGACACAACCCGCCAATGTCCCCACTAATATTACCGTCATTACCACCAGCAGAGAGACACCACCACACACCTGGAAAATAATAGATCATTGTTATTGTTTGTTATAGATATGGTAGGCGACTATTAGTATCATAACTTAATGCAGTTTAATAATGCAACGTGAGGGAAAGGGCAGATGGGTATATGTGTCAAAGCTGCCCTGTGTCTGCCGCGCCAGTGTGTACGCGAGGGAAAGGAAAGGATAAGCGGAGAAAGTACGTAAAGGAGGAAGTGACGTAACGACCGACTTTGTGTGT